CCTAAGATGGTAGTTTTTAAAATCAAAAAACTGACTTTCAGAGTCAAAAACTGGAAATCTGTTCAGCAAAGATTTTTCAGATTCTGTTTGGGACAACATTCTTTGTCACTTGCAGATAAAGCTGTCTGATCATTATTCTCAGGATTCTTATACACTATAAGAAATTTACAGAGCAGCACAGTTTGTCTTGCAAAAAATGCACTATAGAAAAAGCATCTTTACTACTCCATAACTATATTATCCTGCAGGAAGTTACAATCCACCTAATAAAATGAGCTTATCTTCACAATATCAGTTAGCCTCAGAATTGGTGATTGTAAAATACAAACTATCAGAAATCTCCTTGCATTTACAAGTCATCAAAGAAAAGATTGCTCAATTTATGCAGATGCAAATAAAGGGCCAATAAAACTATTATCTCTTTCAATGAAGAAACTTTAATTCTGGAGAATAAGTGAACTTTTCTAATGTTCCACAAAATATTAAGTGTGGATTCTGCAGTTTACAAAGATATTATTTTAGTGGCTGCTCTGAAATTAATGTCATGATTCATGCTATAAAATGTTGAAAAAATACAAACAATTATATTATTCTTCCTCAAGGCATACATATTCTGAGAACTATGCCAGGCAATTGCTTAAAGGAAAAGATTGAAGAATGCCATTGCCTAAAACCCTAATTAACTTAGTGCAGTGATAAATTTGATGCAGTCTATTAAGGAATCAGTCACCATCTTATAAAGGCTGAAGCTACAGACACAAATAGTCACTTCATTAGCTCTGAGCATTAATGTTACTTAATAAATAAAGGAACTCATTATAAAAATAGATTATATTGAATCACAGCTATGAAGTTTACAAGAATATACAGAATTTCTGAAAGATGAAAGCTTGAAATCTTAGTTTCAATCAGTTGAAGTGCACATTCTTAGGATAATTTAAAAGCCAGTCATATCTAGGCCAGAAACTGCTACTACTTCTATCAAGAGAGAAACCTTAAATAAAGATGTTTTACCAATAGAATCAGCTTCTAAAATTACTGATTGAACAATCTGTACCAGTCCAAAGCCACTAAAAAGTTGTTAGCAAAGCTCTGCAGAAACTAAAAACTTTGCTGATGCTTGATAACTATGATCATGAACTAACACTGGACTATGATGATATGGTATCATTAGTAGAGGCATCAGATTCTGACAAAGAAAATACTTAATTACTATCTCAGATTCAGCAAGTGGATAAAGAAGCAGCAGAAGTTATCAACTTCTTTCTTCCCTTAGTAGAAGAAAAAGATACTTTAACAAAAAAAGAAACTTCACTATGAATATCCAGAAAGGCAGTACCAAATTTAATTTTACATTTGTCATCAACTCCACTCTCTATACCACCATCAAATGCAAAAACTGATATTGTTTCTACTGAAGATAAGACAATTAAGTCTCTATCTATTTTATTTAGCCAGATCCATTAATTATGCATCTTCTGTTGATTGCAATATAGAAGCCAAGCCTGAGTATTAAAGAAAAGTCAAGGAAGCAGACCCTGCTTATCAAACTCATACATCTATTGAAGATATCTTAGGAGCTTATAATATTTATGAGTGAGCTTTGGATTCTGCTGTTATCCTGTTGCAAAGAAAACTTTACTCTCTGTCTCTGGAAATTCAGAATATGGCCAAAGAAGACATTATGAGATAGAAAGTTCCATCAATCATTGAATATTTCTAAAATATTTCTTTACCACTCTACACTAGTCCAGATACAGTTGAAATCATTGTAACTTCACCAGAAAGCTCAAAAAAAACTATACTGTTATTTAGTGTTCTAAAGAATGTGATACAAATCTTTGAACAGTCAAGGGTTTCATCACAACCACAAAGTCCATCTAAGGATGCTCTTGTAGTAAAAAACCCTTATGAGGAATTAATTAAGAATGAAAAAAGATTAGCCCACTGAAGTACACTGCAGAATCAATTGCCCCAAGATCCATATTCTCTATGATAGATCATCAGCAGAAAGTTGAATGTACAGTTGATTATCTCAAAATGCATATGATTAAAAGACACCAAAACTATATGCATTTATAGATTTATGCAGAACCAAAGTAGCATGTGTTGTGACATGTGACTTGTGCAACATTATCTAATTCATCTCTATGTTGTCATTGTTGTCCCAAAATGCTGTGAGTAGCTTTTGGATCAGCTTTCCATGCATCTCCTTGAATAATGCTCCTCTCAACTTCCTCAGCTATAGTACTAATTCACCCTGGTCACCTTGTGAAACACAAAATGTCTCCAGCTTTTGAATAAGCTCAAACCCTTCTATTGTAGTTATCAAAGTCTGTTCTTCCTCACTCTCCTCTTTCTTCTCATTATTGTCAATAACAATTACTTCTCCATTTTCTACTGAGGATAGTCATCAACATGTTTGAATACTACAAGCCAGTCTCTTGTTGTGAGATGCAGGTGGGAGATCTACTTCAGAGGCTGGGCTGATGATTTGTGAGTTGGAACTTTCTTCTATTTTGTATGCTCATATGGATTCCCATATTTAGCATGTAGTTTTCATATCAGTTTGGGAGGCATGTTTATGGAAATATAGGCTGGACCACTTCACAATATTTTTTTTATGTTTGTCATAGTCTATACAAACAAATTATGTTCTTTATTGTTTCAATATGTGCACAATGTTATGTCAGCTTACTATAATTTTGGATATAACAATGCATATCCAAGGCTAGAACCATATGCATTATGCAATATGCATTTCTGACCTATTTCTCTGCTTCTCAACTGGGTTCCAGCCCAATCTGTATGCAAAGTTGGATTTATGCATTTTCATATCATGCATTTCAAGATAGTTAACTGTATTCTGGACTCCAGTTCATAAGTTATTTTGATGTCAGAAGTCATTTGCCATTGCTTGGATCTAACCTATGATCCTATAGTGTTGATGAAAATGCAATCCACCAATAAAACTTTGAATAGTTGGTTGAGACTAGCAAGAAATGTTGCATTCTTATTAGAAGATATTACTCTTTATCTCTAAGTATACATATTGCAAGATCCCAAGATGATCTGTAAGCATACTGAGTTGGAAAGGTGTAGAAGAGAAGTCAGTGTGAGCTGGAGTGTAAATAATGGTGGAGGAGGAGGAGGAGAGTGTCATAGAAAGTGAAGAAGCCAGCAGTAAAGATATCAGTGAGAAAGAGAGGACCATTGATAAGATGATAGAGGTGAGTGGAGGGCAGTGGATATAATGTGAGTTGAGTTTAGGTAGTTGGTGTACAAGTCAGAGAAAGAAGGCAGGTTAGGAGATAGAGGAGATAGGTTATATTGATGAATGGTTGATGTTATTATTTTATAGGTTTCACTGTGATAAACCCAAGAAGACATTCAGAAAGCATTGAAATTAAGAACCAGTGAAGAGTAGTCAGAGATAGAGGATATGATGGGTCATAGAGCATAGAGAGAGGGTGCAGGCAGAATCATGAAAGCATCAAATAGAGACCTGGAGGGAAGGATATGGGAAGAGATACATGGGGAGAAATAGCATGATAAGCATTGATAAGATTATACACCATTTACATGTGCAACCATGGAAGCAATGCAAGGAACCATAAGGGCTCAAAATGATCATCCACTGCACACACCACAAGAGTAGCCATCTGTGCTGATGTTCTCTGTGTGAGATGGGATTTCATCATCTTTCTGTCTTTTGCCTATCACATCACAGTTGATACCCCTGTAGAGGATTCACCCACTCTAGACCATTTCTTTGACCATTTCCTTTGTTACCTTACCTTGCTTTTACCTTTCTTTGTCTATACAGTGTTTACTTGCCACCATTAGTTAGCCTCCCCCTTTCTTTCAATATTTTACATTGTCTTTGCCAGTTACCTTTGTCTTATTACATGCCACTCTACAAATAGTATAAGTACATAGCTACTTGGTACCAATGGAATCCATCTCCCCCCATCTTCTCTGGTGTCTGTCCAGATCTTAAAGTGTAATAGCCAACTTTACCTACACCCCTACCCATGTATCCACCTACAAGATCCTTGAGAGTCAGGTTGCAAAGCCATCAAGAGATTTCATGCCACTGTTCTTCAGCATGAGTTGTGGCATTTTGAAAGTGAACATTGGAATGGGGCTGTAATTGTAAGGAGGTGTGATTGGATGCATCTTGAGAGAAAAAGGCAATGCTATTAAGGTGAGTAAGCCCAGCATTGGATAAATTAATTATATTCTGCAGGGGCAGGGCATAAGGAGGGACAATTAAGGTGACAAAGAGCAACATTGCCATGAAAGAGGAAGGAGAGATCAGTATTATGGATTGACAAGCGGGTTTGAGGCGATGCATCGGCGGATGCCGTGCCGGCCCGTCCTAGGCCGACTCTTAGCCTCCTTGCCCAAGAACTCGCACTACTTCCTCGTAAACCACGACCACGGCTTCGACGCTCGCATTACCCGCGCCACTGCATTCGCCAGCCCTCTTCTCAAAAGGCTGATCTGTGATAATAGACTGGGAACTCTCTTGCCATTGGTTACTCGGAAAACTCTCGGGCTCTCGAGACTCGAATTCGAACTTCCTGGAGGCACAGACTTGAAGTGGGGGTAGGAACTAACTTGAAGTATTAGGACCTCGTACTGCAATTTCTTCCGGTAGATTTCTATGATGTGCACTGGCAACTATATTTTTTCGAAAGTGGACGACAGTCTCACGGCCTGCAAATTACCTGCGAGATACTTATCGTCTGGGCGAAGTGCTGTGACACGTTTATCTTTTCAGATGAACTCGTCTCTCACACCGATGCTGATTCCTGTGCACCTGACGAAAAGCATCGATAAGACGCAGTTCCAGAACGTCAAACACGAAATGAAATCTGTCGCAGCGCCGATAACCACCGTTCTTCATAGTTTAAAAGTGCCGTCTCCTGTGACGTTTCTCTTCACCCACCCACCATGTCCTAAGAAACTGCTATCGTTACCGGCTCTGCCAAAGGAAAGGAATTGGGAGAGCTATCGCTCTCCAACTTGCTAGGAACAGCTTGAATGTCGCTCTCAACGATCTTCCCTCTGAGAAAGCGAAGCTCGACGAGGTCCTCAATGAAGTCGTTGCTACGGGTGTTCAATGCAAGATATATATAGCCGATGTCTCGAATGAGCAAGAAGGACAGGCGATGATCCTGGCCGTTGTCTCAGACCTCGGTGGTATAGATGTGGTACGATATCATGTCATCTTTTTCTTCAGTGGCAGCTATATTAAATCGGACTATAGATGGTAGCAAATGCTGGTGTCTCATATGCTCACAAGTTGGTCGATAGTCCGCGACAGTCTATTGACTATTTCACCGGAGGATTCATCGACACAACTCGTGGTAGGCCCTCAGAGGTTCGTTCCTCATCCATACCTTCTCGGTTGATCGCCTTTTAACGTACCAGCTAGTAAGGGATGTAGACAGTTCTCTCGGTGCCCCGCTGGAGCAATCTGGTTCACGACGTTAATGAGTTTCTGTCAGATCGCGCGCTCTCCTCTTCCACAAGGAATAGGACAGCCTGAAGATGTCGCGAGCGGCGTAGCCTACTTGGCATCGAAGGAAGCGGGTTTTATTACCGGTGAGCCACTTAATAACCTCCACCACCGACACGGCTCATTCAAGTTCGTTAAGCCAATGCGTGGGTGTTATTTCGCTTACAAGGACATGATTTCTTCTACTCTACATATAGATATCTATGAATGGCGGGCTCGTCATGACCTGATTCGTGGAGGCTGTTCCCGCGTGAAGAAAACTTGAATGTACTAGTCGTCGCTTGTAAAATACTGGTTTCTTTGCTGTGAAATGGATACGCGATTGCTAACGCATATGAGATGCTCAAATGCATGTGATTCTGGCGCCATTTGTTGAAAGCATGAAGCAGGTTTCGATTGAGTCCGACAAATTAGTCGGAACGGACGATATCAAATTTACTCTTAGAGAATCCCCCAAAACTGTCCATCGATCCTACGATTAAAAATCTACTTCAGAAACATTTCCGCATCCGACGATCATCCTTCAGTCGCGAACGGTGGAATTCTGTTAAGGAAACCTTGATGAGGGCTCTCGTCGACTAGTCAAGAAAATCTCAACGCACCACTTCAGTGCTTAGGGAGCACTTTGACTCTTCCTGTGCTTCTTATCATCCCCACCAATGGAAGGACTGACGCGCAGCCTTCCATCCGGACTTGTGAAAGGCGGAGGCATAGGGAACTGTCGCAGCGTCACGAGGAGCGGGGAAGTGATCTGATTCGCGGGTGACTTCGGCTCGACTCGTATTTGCTGTTGCTGCTGAGAGTTCATGGCGCGATTCTTCTCGGTCCAAACCCATGAATGTGTGTAGGTTATAAGAATGGCGTTGGGGGCTCCTCGGGGGACGGTGCTGTGTTGAAGATTGATTCCTTGGTTTGCTGCTGTGCGGACACGGACCGTCGTTCAATTAAGAGCCCAGATCCTGATGATTGAAGAGAATACGCCACAGATAAGGGCTGGCTATCTGGCCCCGAGTAGGTACGTGGCGAACCAGAGAAGCAGAATCTCGCCAGCAGAGTAAAACATATCCCTGATAAGTGATGGGATCCACCGAGATAGAAGACTGCGTTCAGTACCAGTGCATCGATGAAACAAAATCAAAGGTTGTTGAACATCGGACTAGGGTGAGAAATATCATCGATGAGAGTAGACGATCAACAGATTAACTTTAACATCCGAATAAGCTATCTCCAGAGGGTCAGCTGAGAGTGGCTTACAGACCAAGGTAGCCTCGACGTTCGAAGGGTCGGATCAGTTGATAACACCTGAAAGACCATCTGACCAGTAAGAAACGACTTCACGAGGAAGATGTTTGGGCGTCTAAACAGTGCCATCAGCCTTCCAGCCGGATCAGATTAGCCCCTTCCTTTCATCAAGCCAGATTTCAACTAAGGCTTTCGATCTTCTAGTATCGCGGCAAGCGAGTGTGAAGTCATTCGGATCGTAGAAGAACTTCAGACCTGAGGTGCTCGGCATGTGAAATGCCTGAAGACGACACGTGTGTTGTTTGGATTATTCGTAGACCACAATTCTATCCATAGACAGAGGCCTAGAATTGAGAGCAGCAGCTAAAAAAAGCCTCAGGTTAATCCATGATTTTCGTTAAAACCTGCTTCATAACTTCGGAGGTCCTGGAACTTAGTGTCTCGAATTTATCCCGGTAGAGCTCGGGGTTCACCGAGAGAATATTTATGCTGTCGACGGACAAAAGAAATGAACAGAAGATAAAGTCCGAGATCGCCAGGAAGACCAGTGTACGTAGCTTTTCGAAGCATAGTATAGTTAGCTAAAAGAGCCTGGACGCTATACAGCAACGAAACGTTTCTCCGAATCAATGATCATCTCCCGCAGCATCGCGGTATGATTAGATATGGTCTGAGAAAATCACTTCGTCGCATCAATTATAACCAGTGCACTGATGAAACCTCGAACAACGCGGGGTGGAATACATTTTATTGGAAGAAACATCGGCATCTAGAGAAGAAGATCGCAATGGAACAATTCTATTGGCTTACGAAACATCTAAATGTACTCTCTGCAAAATGTAAATTGCCAACATATGTTTATCCTTAAAACTGTAGCAGGAAGCAAAGTATCAGCATCGCGTAAAATAAAAATAACAAAAGGGGCCAAGAATACACATCACATAGACCGGAGTCTATCCATCATGTCGCATCCAAGGGCGATCCACGACATCCTCTTCCTCCCCAACACCAGCTAATGTCATCGCCTCCAACTTTCTGGTAAAGTCATTCATGTCCTCTTGCGCAGCCTCTCGGATAGCACAGTCATATCCCCCTCCTTCGTCCACATCATCATCGGGATCCCAAGAAATAGGCAATCCTCTCCATCCGCCGTGTTTGTAGACGTAGTTGAGGAATGACCTCCATAGGGGGTCAAGAGAGAGAACCTTTGGGTCCCCGACGATAACAAGTAGTGCTTGTGCTCGAGTCACAGCCACTGAAAGCCGGTATGAGTCATAGAATGATAAGAGTGGGTGAACAAACCCACCATTGAAACGACGAGGGCTCGCAACGAACCCAAGGGTGTGTCGTAGATCATACTCAATGAACTCTTTACTACTCCTAACGGTCGATATGATGATGACCTTGCGTTCCTAAATGCATTGTCGGTACATATGCAACAACCCCAAAGCATCGATATTCTTACCTGACCTTGAAACTCCTCCACACTGCCGACTTTGATACCCTCATACCCTCTCCTCAATATATTCCTAATTTTGAGAACCTGGGCATGATATGGCGCGATCACGCCGATATCATTGTCAGCTAGACGCGCTTCATCAGTTTCAAGATAGATCCCAGTTGATTATGTACATACTGATGCGCAGTTTCTTATCCGATCGTAGCTCTTCGATCGTTCTCATGACATCGAGAACCTCGTCGATGTTAAAGAAGGACGGAGACGAAGCCTCACGATCATCTTTTCCCGCCATCGAATGAAAGATAATGGGGAATTTCTTCTCCTCGAGATGCTTTGATCCAATAAAAGCAGTGATACTCCTGGGATCAGCACAGGGTTGGAGCTCTCCCTTATAGAACCTCTCGTTCGGGAACTCGAGAATCGCCGGATGGGAACGGAAGTTTTGGGTCAACTTGACCACCCTGTGAAGGAAAAAAAAAAAATCAGACCCAAGGCGGTGAAGGAAATGATGAGAAACAACTGACGAATGCCCATGACCATCCTCATCATATATATCGCGCTGCATCAGTCGCTCAATATAGCTGGTCTCTAGTCCTAAATCCTTCGCCACCGGCGACCTAATGATAGGTCCAAGCTGTTTAGGATCGCCGGACAGAATGACATTCGTCATATTATCAGCCATAGTTTTCACCGCAATCATCGCTTCTGGCTCGGTTGCCTGACCCGCCTCGTCGATGAAGACATGTGTGAAATGTCCTCGCGGGATACCGATTCCGAAAAATACCGAAGCTGAAACACAGGTTGTGACGACCACCTTGAATTGTCGAACGCGAGCAAGAATAGGGACGGAGAAGTGTCCATTCTTAACGAACGTGAAGGGTTCGAGTTCGTGAGAAACGGCGGCCTTTGGTCTCGATGGAGCGTAGAAGCGGAATAGGACATCCGTACCCAACATTGTTAGACGGGAAGTGATCAGGTCTGCAGCTGAATTACTTGGAGCACAAGCCAGTATTCTTGCTTTTGGATTGGCCACAATGACTTGGCGGATCGCTTCGATCATGGTCACGGTTTTTCCTGTTCCAGGTCTGTATCACCATGTCAACGAGAGATTATCACGTGGGATTGAAAGACTTACGGGCCAAATATAACGAAAGGTACTGTCCCAGGACGTTGGCGGAGTATGCAATCGACTGCCTGTCTCTGGCGGGCGTTTGTGTCGATTAGCTTGTTGAAAGATTTCCACGGTGTCGTCTCTGAGAAGGCGAGAATATGCTGCTCTGCGGGCAGGAGTAACCGTGCCGGTGCGAATGCGGTGCCTAATGCTTGGTGCTGACGGCGAAGCGGATAGCGATTCAATTTGAACCGAACAAGGAACCGGTCTGTCGGCGCAGCTCTGAAAGTTCGATTAAAACACAATCCGACTTCTTCTTTCCTGACGACGTGGACGCCGCCAGAGTACCAATGACCTTCGGGGGCATCGCTCCTTCGGACAAGGATAACGTCGCCTAGCAGAATATAAGCCAGGGTTAACATCGAAGAGAGGAGACCTACCGACAAGTACACTCGGTCTTTTCTCAGCTAAACCAGGAACGTTGAGACTAGGATGATGTCAAAAATATCTTCAACAAGGGGAACAAAACTCGTACTAGTAGTATTGGTTGTGCTGAGCGAGCTGGGCGTTAGGGATGTCATAATATTCTAGGTCTTGGCTGGAGAGTAGGCCATGTAAGAACACACGCATCAGTAATGAACAAAGCACTTGCCTCATTTTGAATTCTTCAGTCCAAATCAAGTACTTGTAATACTTTCCGTACGAGGCACCTTCGATCGTGGGGGGAAGGAAAACCTCACGGAGGCGTTGCGTAATTTCAGCTACGGAACCTACAGACAGCGTCGCCAGCAGACTTTTGGGAATATCTGCTTTGTGAAGCTCGACGATATACGGGATGACGCCGAGAGCCGGCGGCTTCACGCCTTTCACCACATCTGTCTCTGGGTGTCGCGTTGACCGCTTACGAGGGACATAAGGTGTCGTCGGTTGCAATGCCTTGTGTGCAGCTACGTTTCCGACAATGATGTGAAGCGGTCGGCATATGATAAACTGCGTATGGAGGTGTAAATCTTCGAACACCAACTCTAGCCGGTCGTCGCCACGTCCAGGGAAGGTCTGCAGTGCAGTGACAGTCAAATTGACAGGTTGTCGATACCTGAGTTGATGTAAGCCCGACGGCTCGGCGGTAAATCTTGTCAAAATAGAATTCATCTGGAGAATCACATTTACATAGATGGATAAACTCACGGAGAGAAGATTGATCGGCGTTTCGATGATGCCAAATTCACCGACACAGACAAACGCGCATGGGGAACGGTCGTGCTGATAGCCACTTGTGCAGATACTCCTTCCCGAGCAGCACTGAGTTCGACGACTTTGAAGTCAAGATCACTAACAACGGTAACATCGTGTTTATCCTGCGTGGCTTCCTCGAGAGCGGAAGAATACTTGGTAAACTGCTCTTTGTCCTTGTGTTTTTGATTCGAGAGGTGGCCCTTCCAATGAGAATTGAGTATCTGGCGGTTACAGATAACGCAGAGAGTGTGGCCCGGAACAACGTCGGCCTCCTCTGGCTGCACATGGGGGGATACGCCTTGCTCCTGAGCTGCACGACAGTGACGTCCCCCTTCAACATGTTGTACCCAGCATTTCATGCCTGGGACGTTCACATTGCAGATATGGCAGGCGTACAGTGCTGAGCCTGCCACGGCATTCTGGTGGATTTTTGTGCTGAGGTGCGCATCGTAGGAAGCTCGGTCAGGATAGATGTTGCGGCACGCATCACATGAAATGGTATCGGACTCGTATCGAAATGGACAATCTGCGTCGTCGCAATGGCCAGTGGCGAATTGGTGTGGACAGGTGGTAGCCATGGTGGCGGTAAGAAAGAAAGGCACAGGCAAGCGCAGCCTTTCAAGTATCTTAACCCTGGAAACGTAAACAAGCGCCCAGTGACAGAATGGGTATTTAGTGTACCATTTTCGACCCTACTTCCTACTTCGAGTATCCTGTCTATTGTTCTTTTCACATTGGCCCCAGGACGTTCCATTTTATGCGTTCCTATTTGGTATCAAAAAGAAGCTTTTAAAATTTTCCTTTGTGCTAATTTAAACGGATCACATGATCGTGAGGCCAAAACTTTAAATTCAAATTTCTGGTCTGCTTGATGCCGCATGTAAAGTAAGATGAACAACGCTGTAAGAACTCAGTCTGGCGCACTGGTAGCGATGAAACGACTCTATTCTCAACACTCAACTCTTACTTATCACGAACCCTAACCACTTCATGTGACCTAAGCATCAGACACTAAGCTTCGCCCTAGTCCCGTTAAGCTTTTAAGTTGGAAACCTAAGCCTCGCACTAGTCTACTAACTTCGTTCAAGGTGATTGTTGTTGAGATCTTCGAGCTCGCTCGAACCCATTTCTCGCTCGCGGATACCTTAGTTCTCACGCTTACGCTCTTACTCTTTACTACGTCGACGGCCCGTACCTCTACCGAACGACTATTCGTCTTCATTGCTCAAGCACGGTATCCAACATTTATAACACATACCTCAGTCTGGCGCAGTACGACTGAGGTGTCGTACGTAACCAATGGGGTATATATACTATTGAGCAAGGTATAGGAGTTCAATGGAAAAAGGATAAAGAATATACCTAGGTCGGTCGTCAGTGACGGCGTCGGGTATCCTGCGTCTAGTTCAACAGCATGTACCATGTTAAAGATAACAATGTTCAATGTTAGATGCTGCATGTATTAATCATCTTGCCCACAGCATCGCGGTATGATTGGATATGGTCTGAGAAAATCACTTCGTCGCATCAATTATAACCAGTGCACTGATGAAACCTCGAACAACGCGGGGCGGAATACATTTTATTGGAAGAAACATCAGCATCTAGAGAAGGAGATCGCAATGGAACAATACTATTGGCTCACGAAACATCCAAAGGTACTCTCTGCAAAACGTAAATTGCTAACATATGTTTATCCTTGAAAGCATAAGTTAGCAGGAAGCAAAGTATCAGCATCACGTAAAGTAAAAATAACAAAAGGGGCCAAGAATACACATCACATAGACCGGAGTCTATCCATCATGTCGCATCCAAGGGCGATCCACGACATCCTCATCCTCCCCAACACCAGCTAATGTCATCGCCTCCAACTTTCTGGTAAAGTCATTCATGTCCTCTTGCGCAGCCTCTCGGATAGCACAGTCATATCCCCCTCCTTCGTCCACATCATCATCGGGATCCCAAGAAATAGGCAATCCTCTCCATCCGCCGTGTTTGTAGACGTAGTTGAGGAATGACCTCCATAAGGGGTCAAGAGAGAGGACAGCCGGGTCCCCGATGATGACGAGTAATGCCTTCGCTCGAGTTACGGCCACTAGCAAGAACGAGGGTGAGCTCAGGAAGAAACAGAAGAGTGAAAGATTGCAAATTTTTTTTTACCATTAAACCGACGAGGGCTGGCAACAAATCCAAGAGTGTGGCGTAGATCGAATTCTACGAACTCTCTGCTACTTCTAACCGTCGATATGATAATAACTTTGCGCTCCTGCCGGTGAGTGAGAAAACCATCGTCAGCGCTGCAAAAAGAGTGAGAAAGAAACCATCGCCTCTCACTTGACCCTGAAACTCCTCTACACTGCCAACTTTGATGCCATCGTATCGACCCCTTAATATATTCCTGATCTTGAGGACTTGAGCATGGTATGGCGCAATCACCCCAATATCATCGTCGGCTAAAAGAAAAAATATTATTGAATGATTCAACCGATATGTCGCGGTACACGTACTGATGCGCAATTTCTTATCCTCGCGTAGCTCTTCAACTGTTTTCTTGACATCGAGGACCTCATCGATGTTAAAGAATGACGGAGACGAAGCTTCGCGATCATCCTTGCCCGCCATGGCGTGGAACACAATAGGGAATTTTTTCGCTTCGAGGTGCTTCGATCCAATGAAGGAAGTGATGATTTTGGGTTCGGCGCAGGGTTGCAGCTCCCCTTTGTAGAACCGCTCGTCCGGGAACTTGAGGATTGCGGGATGAGAGCGGAAATTCTGTACCAGTTTGACGACTCTAGAGAGATGGAGGCAAGGCAATCAGACCTATGGGTTACGAAACGAAAACAAAGAAATTATGACTGACGGGTGGCCTGCGCCATGATCCTCATCACCATATACATCCCTCTGCATCAGCCTCTCAATGTAGCCGATTTCTAAACCTAAATCTCTCGCCACTGGTGACCTGACGATAGGTCCAAGCTGCTTGGGATCGCCCGACAGGATAACGTTAGTCATGTTATCAGCCATAGTCTTCACCGCAATCATCGCCTCCGGCTCGGTAGCCTGTCCGGCCTCATCGATGAAAATATGGGTAAAATGTCCTCGCGGGATGCCGATACCGAAGAACACCGAAGCGGAAACGCAAGTCGAGACAATGACCTTGAGTTGGCGGACACGAGACAGAATGGGAACTGAGAAGTTACCCTCCTCGTTGACGTAGGTGAAAGGCTCAATCTCGTGTGTTACAGCTTTCTTCGGTCTGGATGGGGCGTAGAATCGAAAGAGCCTATCTTCTCCTATCATCGTAAGGCGAGACGTGATGAGATCTGCCGCCGAGTTACTTGGAGCACAAGCAAGAATACGAGCTTTGGGATTGGCGGAAAGAATCTGCCGAATTGCTTCTATCACAGTTACAGTTTTCCCCGTACCAGGGCTAGAGAATAGTCAAATGTCACTCTATGAGTTATATAGATATAAATAACTGACGGCCCAAAGATGATGAAGGGCACAGATCCCCCAGGTTGACGAAGGATGCAATCGACCGCCTGTCTTTGCCGCACGTTGGTACCGATCGGGTTGTTGAACGGCCTCCACGGGGATGCTCCGGCCGACTCCAGGACATGCTGTTCAGCGGGAAAGAGTAAACGTGCGGGAGCAAAGGCTGTTTCCAAGGCTTGATGTTGTCGTCTGAGAGGGTACCGGTTCAATTTGAAGCGGACAAGGAATCTATCCGCACTCGTCGCTGTGAAGGAACGATTGAAACAAAGCCCAACTTCCGCTTGATGGACGACATGAACGCAGCCCGAATACCAGTGACCTTCAGGTGCATCACTCTTTCGAACGAAGATACTGTCCCCTAATTTGCTTTAGCGACAAAGAGCAGAAAAGGCTATTAGAGTGAAATGTTAAAGCGAAAAACTGCTGCAGTATCGCCGACACGTACAAGTAGTATCTTCCGTGCTGTTTGAGTTTGGAATTGGGAATGTCGTAATGTTCTAAATCTTGGCTACAGAACGGGGGGCATCAGTGGTAAGGGCATTCCTAGCAGATGACAATACTAACCTCGACTTGAACTCTTCGGTCCAGATCAAATGCCGGAAATGTCTCCCATACGAAGCGCCCTCAATCGTAGGAGGCAGGAACATCTCCCTAAGTCGCTTCGCGACCTCCGAGACGGAGCCGGTCGCCAAGGTAGCATACAGGTTCTTGGGAATATCATACTTTGGAAGCTTGACAATGTAGAGAACAGCGCCAAGAGCTGGAGGCCTCTCTCCTTCGACGACTGTCGTCTCGGGATGGCGTGTCGTTCGCTTTCGGGGGACATACTGCGTTTTCGGTTGCAATGCCTTGTGAGCTGCCGAGTCGCCAACGATGATATGGATAGGTCGACAAATGATGAAACGGGTGTTTAGCTGCTGGTCTTCAAACACGAGCTCGAGCCTGTCATCTGCGCGTCCCGGAAATTTCTGGCACGCAGAAACGGTCACCGTTACAGATTGACTGTACTTGAGTTGGAATGCTCCAAGAGGTGCAACGGTGAATCTGTCATTAGAAAAGAAATGGATGAGAGAAAACTAAAAATAATTGCGTGGGAAACGAACGGAGAAAATGCCGATCGGGTTTTTGACGATGCCAACCCCACCGTCACAGAGAGTCGTGCATGGGGAACGGTGGTGCTGATAATAACGACGCTAGCTACACCTGCACTCGCTGCACGTGGATCGACAACATCGTAGTCGAGGTTCCCTTCGACCGTAACACCGTGTTTGTTTTCCTCAGCTTCTTCGAGAGCCGACGTATATTTGGTGAACTGTGTCCGCGCTCTGTGTTTTCTTCCAGCGATGTGAGACTTCCAAGCATTGTGAGGAATATGAATGTTGCAAGGTGGACAAAATTTGCAACCTGGAACCTCCTCGGGCGTTTGTGGTTGGACGCTAGGAGATACACCTTGTCGCTTGGCCGCTTTGAGATGACGCGAGCCACGAACGTGTGAATCCCAGCTAACCCGGCCCATTGTACTGTCGCAAATGCTACAGTAGCATATCGTAGGTACACCAGATGCAGCTACAAGATGCGCTTTGGAGGTCAAATGTGCGTCAAGATTTTGTTGAGTGGGAAACGTCCTTCGACATGGACTGCATACAAGAACATCATGTCTGAGACGACAAGAATCATCGTCACAGTGGCCTACCGAAAGAGTTTTGGGACAAAGGGCGACCATAGTGGTAGAAAGAAAGAAAGTGATGAAGGGACGAGAGACCGATCAATGTCTGCCTTTCCATGAACGGCACAATCGATCCGTTAAAATTTTGCAACAAGCGCCGAGCGCCAATTTCGTAATTCCGCGTAACGTTTCTTCTCTCCGGACGAGATTGCCACGCCACTGATGTGCTGGACAACTGTACCAGGTGGAAAGTCAAATATATTTAATTTTTTCTACTGGGTTAGTTATTTTCTGCCATAGTAAGAAATAATAAGCAAGTAATTACCTGACAAGGGAACAGTTCCCTCAAAGGCCATCATCTCAGTATCCAGTAGAAGCTGGAGTACCAGTGAACCCTACAATTTAGCAGGAGGGGTTCCCAGGTCCAGGGTACTGTGATCGGCATGCCGGCAAAGGCTGGGCAGTGTAACGGACGGGCCCGTTCTACTTCCTTTTTCATAACATAAACCCGGACTTTATTTGAACTATGCTTATCTATGCACTCCACTCTTATCTACGTATAAATACTTGGTCATGCCTAGAATTATGCCAGTCTTTCTTACCTTTTCCCCCCAAATCGAGATGTCTTCAACCTGGTCCTTGATTTGTCCTTGTGTGCTGCTACCGACTATCATCACTAACGTCACAGACAGTGTCCAGTTGATCGGTCGGGCTAGCTGTGAATGAGCTCATATCTGCCAAGCTGTCACATATGAGCTCACACCTGCCAGGAGATGGGTTTAGCCTACTGGGCCAGGCCAGCAAGCCTATTAGTCAGTAGATCACAGTGTTAGTCAGACACCAAGATCCAGAAAGTATAAATATTGATATGGGGATAGGGAAGGGAGGTTTCTGACCCTCTCCTCCCCCTGAAACACTACCAAGTGAACAGCAAGGGTTGTGTTAAGAACTTTGAGTTGTAGACTCAACTTGAACAGTATTGTGGTGACCAGGTCACTTTTTTTTGTGCAAGAACCCCAGAAAGCAACTGAAAGTTTGTGTCAGACAGTCAGAGTAGACCAGGAATAGTTCAGAACAGCTCAGTTTTGTGTATAAGTCACAACCAGGTGCACCATATCAGTCAAGAAACTGCATCAGGCAGACAATACAAGTTCAGAACCTGCACCAGGCAGACCATTTGAGATAGATTTTGTTGTGTTCAGTGACACAGACAACTTTGTCCCAGTAATTGCAATATATATCCTTGAATTACATTCTATTGCACCCTATTAATGTTACATTCTCTATATACTGAGAATCCAGGTGTTACCATTCCTCCCTTGAACCACATTGTGATTTGGTGGTGTGCATCTTGCACATTGTTGATTCATTTAGTGCCACTTCTCAGCATTTCACCACATTGATGGACCATGCCATGTAATTCTACCTACCTACCTACCTACAACAAGTGTCCCTATAGTTTGGACATTTCCCTACAGCTTCAGGACTTGATTCTTGCCAGATGACACAGAATACCATGAATGCTTTTTCTTGCAGATGCAATTAAACCTATCGAGACCTGCAAAAAAAGGAGGAAAAACCCTGATTAATCGTTGCAAGTGTCACAGGTGACAGGGCTAAGGATAGTTCTTCCAAACGGCGACTTTCGAGGTGACTGATGTGAGTTAATAGGCATGTCCTGAATAAAGCTACGCTGAAGAAAAATGTTCGGCTTACGCTACAAGTTGTGGTGTCCCTCCCCCACATCTCGAGCAGCACTCCAGCTACTTACTCTCACAATGTCAAAAGCGAAAAGATAAATTACAACCTACGACCAGTCTATGATATCAACTTGCTAACAGACCTATCGCCTTCATAGTTCTTTTTTAGCAGCTATTAAAAGACCAGTGAGCACCCCAGCGAACATCGGATGAACGAACATTTGCAACGGCGAATTCGAGATCAGCCGTCATGCCTCTGCCACGGTTCATCAAGAACCTCATCCTGAACACTAGTCGAAGCCATAGCCTCCATCTGCCGTGTAAGTTCATCCATCTCTGCTTGAGCCGCCTCACGCATGGCACGGTCGTATCCACCTGTCTCGTCGACATCTGCGTATGGGTCCCAAGATATAGGCAGCCCTCTCCAACCTCCGCGCTTGTAGACGTAGTTCAAGAACGAGCGCCAGAGCGGGTCCAGAGAAAGCACGGTGGGATCTCCTATTATGACAAGCAGAGCTTTCGCCCGTGTTACAGCAACTAAGAGAAAGGAAATATCATGAAGCAGGCAGCAGAAGAAGTGCTAATTAGACTGACCGTTGAACCTGCGTGGGTTCGCGACGAATCCTAGAGTGTGACGAAGATCGAACTCAATGAAGTCCTTGCTGCTTCTGGTGGTCGATATGATGATCACTGGACGTTCCTGATCAAAAATGATCAATACTTCCGCGCATAATAACAAGAGAACAAATCGTTAGCCTTACCTGGCCTTGGAACTCTTCAGCGCTCCCACTTTGGATTCCTTCAGCAACTCCCTTTAGCGTTTTCCGGATCCGGCGGACTTGAGCATGATAAGGCGCAATAACACCAATATCGTCAGCCGCTAAACAAACGAACCATTAGACATGAGCCAATATGGAAACAACGAGGACTGACTGAGCTTCAGCTTCGCATCTCCCAGGAGCTCCTCAACCGTGGTCTTGACCTGTGACACCTCGTCGATGTTGAAGAACGATGGGGAAGACGCCTCACGATCGTCCTTACCAGCCATAGCGTGGAACACGATGGGGAAATCCTTGGCCTCGAGATGGTCTGATCCGATAAAGACACCAACGCTATTAGGATCAGCACATGGCTGGAGATCTCCCTTGTAGAAGCGCTCGTTAGGAAACTTGAGTATTGCAGGATGCGAACGGAAGTTCTGGGTGAGCTTGACAACGCTGAAAAAAAAAAAAAAGAAAACATTAGAAAACGTTAGAAATGAACGGAAGAATAAGCCACAACTGACGATCGACCATGTCCCCCGACCTCATCGTAGATGTCTCTCCGCATCAGACGCTCGATATAGCTAGTATCCAGTCCGAGGTCCCGCGCGACAGCCGATCGGATGACTGGTCCAAGCTGTTTAGGATCTCCCGACAGCACGACATTCGTCTTATTATCCGCCATCATCTTCACTGCAATCATCGCCTCAGGCTCATTCGCCTGCCCCGCCTCATCAATGAAGATGTGCGTAAAATGCCCACGCTGTACCCCGATATTGAAGAACACCGCTGCAGATACACACGTTGTCACGATCACTTTGAATTGCTTGACCTTGTCGCTGTTTGGGATGGCATAATACTCTGACTTCATGAACGTGTATGGCTGGAGGTTATCGGGAACAGCAATCTTGGGTCGGGATGGGGCGTAAAAACGAAACAGTTTATCACTGCTTAATTCCATCAGTCGTTGAGCAATGAGATCGGCTGCCGAGTTACTCGGCGCGCAGGCAAGGATGCGGGCGTTAGGATTAGTGCGGAGGATTTGCAGGATGGCTTCCACCACTGTCACGGTTTTCCCGGTACCGGGGCTAGAATCACAGGTAGCGTAAGCTCCTTTCCTTCTAATTATCACAAAAGACGACACTCACGGGCCAAAGATTACGAACGGGACCGTCCCGGGTTTTTGGCGAAGAATGCAATCGACAGCTTGGCGCTGCCTTGCATTTGTGTCGATCAGAGGGTTGATGGCAGTCCATGGAAAGGCAGGAGCCGGCTGCAAGATGTGTGTCGCTAACGGTAGAAGTAGACGCCCTGGAGCGAAGGCCGTCTCTAGGGCTTGGTGCTGACGCCGAAGGGGAATCCGGTTCAACTTGAATCTGACGTGGAACCGATCCGACGGGGACGCTTTGAATTTCGGACTGAAGCGGAGCCCAACTTCTTCCAGTGTGACGGTGTGCACGCCTCCAGAGAACCAATGTCCCTCTGGAGCGTCCTTCTTTCGCACAAGAATGCTATCGCCTAGGAACAGTGAGCACTATATCATGACCATTCAGGGGTATGCGTACCAATCAACACGCTTGGACGTTTCTCGGCTAAGCCTGGGACTTTAAGACTAAAAGTTCACAAAAGTGAGTGTGTAGATGGAAGAAAACATGATGAGCACGTACCAGTCGTATTTATTACGAGGAGTAAGTGTAGCATCCTTGATATCATAACCGTGTAGGTCATGCCTAGAGCGTCGAAATCAGCCTGCAGTCCGCGAGAACAGAAAGAAACACCATACGATTGCTTGTGTTCCTCTACCCATAATAAGATCTGATAAAACCGTCCATATGAAGCACCGTCAATGCTCTGGGGTAAGTACAACTCCTTGACCTTCTTCGTAATTTCAGGTACGGTTCCCGAGGATATTGTGTCCAAGAGCGGCTTCGGGATGTCAGCGAAAGGTAAGGTGATCGAATAAGGAATGACTGTTAGCGCCGGAGGCCTCACGCCCTCCACAATCTGTAGCTCCGGGTGACGGGTTGTCCGTTCTGTAGGGATATAAGCAGATTTGGGCTTCAGGGCCTTGTGGTCGGCCTTGCTACCGACGATAAGGTAGATGGGGCGAGATATGATGAACTGCGTCCGAAGGGTAAGATCTTCAAAGATGAGATCTAGACGATCTTCCGCTCTGCCAACGTGATTCTGCTTAGCGGTGACTGTGAGGATAATCGTGCGAGCTAAACTCAACGCCGTATTGTTGACCGTGACCGTAAAACTAAGCAAAGAGGGAAAGCCGTCAGGTAGTTAAAGCCACGTTAACGTCAAGAACTTACGGAGTGGGAACGGTATTACCCCTTGAAGACGCGAGTCGTGTCTTGACGAGCTTGATGTTCGCATTCCGCACCGTTGTTTTGATTGGAACTGAAATCTTGACACCTTTCTGTGCAGACGATCGCCCGACGATCTTGAAGTCGAGGTCATCTTTGACGATCACTCCATGCTTGTCCTTCTCCGCTTCTTCCAACACCACAGAAAAGGACGCAAACTGCTCTTTGCTCTTGTGCTTCACAGTCGCGACATGTCGATTCCACGCCTGCTCGGGGATCTGCTTGTTACAAGAAGTGCAGAGCCTTTGGCCCGGAATAACCTCTGACTGCTGTGCCGGGATTTTGGGAGCAACACCTGCTCGTTTTGCTCGTCGTAAGTGGCCAGAGGATTGGATATGAGTAGTAAAAGAACGGTGACCCGAGATATGAATACTGCACAGATAGCAGAAAAACCAATTTGAGCCCTGCTTTTGGAGCGCATCCTTGTGTTCTTTCTGCGAGAGGTGATCGGTGTAGGCCTGAGTAGAGGGAAATACTAGTCGACATAAATCACATGTGGATACATTATGGTTCGCACGGCAAGTGACGACGTCGCACGAGCCTGTTGAGAGTAGTCGGTCGCAGATAACAGCCATGGCAGGGAAAGAATGGCAGATGAATAGAGGGTACTTGTCTAACCTTCGTTATTTAAAATCTTCGGCCTGATCCGTGCATCTATAAGCGCCGTGTGGGAATGACAAGAAGCCCTTTCCCACCATATTGATTCATTTGCTCCAGCCTCGAGGACAACACGCTTTAACGTAAATACCCAATCCGTCCCTCCATTTCTTGCGTTGCGCCCCTAAGAGCAAAGACTATTTTCCTTCAAGCGGAATGCAGCTCACGAGTCAGAAAGGGTTCGTATACCTATCAGAACACTTTATAACTCAACTAAGTCATCAAAGACGGTCAAGGTGGGCGCTTAAGACGACAGCGACGGTGTGTGATCATCACTGTTCGAAAAACCTGGTGACCAGAAATTTGACAAGAGTGGTGAAGACGTGAAATATGGAGGTAAATGAATCACGCCGAAGTCGCACTGGACTAACAGTATTCAGTTGGGAAAGCTGGGACGCGGAGCCTTCTCAGCCATTAAGGTCGAAGTCTTGCTACTTGCATCAGCCGGCACTAAAATGCTCGGACCGTTATGATGTCGAAAGCAAACGTATAAATTATGACAGCAAAGTCTACGAGAACAACTTGCTGACGGACGTGTTTCCTTCTTGGTTCTTCTTCAAAACCTGTCGGACAAACACAATTTAGCAACTCAACTCGCTGAAATGAATAAATACAAACCTTCGCCACAGCAAACTCAAAGTCCTCCTGAGTAACATGTTGCCGCCGTTCACGGAGGGCGTACATACCTGGAGAGTGTCAGTGTGAACGATTGCGAATGGAGAAACAAAAACCTACCAGCTTCCGTGCATATACCACGCACCTCTGCGCCTGAACACTGCCCCATTTTCTCTGCCAGTGCACGTAAGTTTATGCCACGTTGCAAGGACATCTACCTCAAGGTAAGCAAAATGCCGTGACGGAGGTGGGTCCAGCATCTCACCTTGCGGGAATGAATACGAAGAATAGCAACACGCGCCTCCGGTCCCGGAGGAGGGAATTCAATCTTTCGATCTATTCGACCTGGCCGGAGCAACGCAGGGTCAAGGATGTCTGAAGAGCCAGGTCAACACATAGCCGTGCCAATAGTGCGCATAACACACCTATCCGGTTAGTAGCCATAATAACCTTGATGTTCTTGGTCGACTCGAAGCCATCCAGCTGGTTCAACAGCTCCAACATCGTCCTCTGGACCTCCGAGTCTCCTCCACCGCTGCCACTATCCCCTCTGGAACTACCGATGGAATCGATCTCGTCCATGAAGATGATACTCGGCGCGTGCTCTCGGGCCATGACGAACAGCTCTCGCACCATCCGGCTACCCTCGCCAATATACTTCTGCACCAACTCGCTACCACTGACCCGGATGAACTTGCAGTCCGTATGATGCGCTACCGCTCGAGCCAGGAGGGTCTTACCCGTTCCTGGTGGACCATACAGGAGGACACCTTTCGGTTGTGCGATCCCCAGCGACTCGAACAACTCGGGATGCTTCACTGGGAGCTCGATGACTTCCTTAATCTCCTTGATCTGCTTGTCGAGACCGCCGACCATCTCGTATGTGCTGTCCGGGACCTTTTCAACCATCATGAGCGAAACCAGTGGGTCGACTTTATTGGGGAGGATTTTGTGGATGGTGTACGAGTCGCAGCGGAGAGCGATGCGGAGAGAAGCTTTGAGCTGGTTAACGTCGATTTCCGAGTCAATGTCGACGACTAGGTATCTCTGTGAGAGGGTGAAAAGGCAATAATGGGACGACAGCGTACTGTATTTGCCCTCCGGCTGCACCTTTACGAGGACCTTATTCTTGCCCATCACTTTCACCACCTCGCCCACGTAGCTACCTGGCTCATGCAACAGCTGCAACTCTTCGCGGAGGAGTCGTACTGCAAAAAAATTACCCATTAGCCCTCACAACTGTCACCGCAGGAAGTAGTATTCCTTACCTCGAGCATTGAGAGCATTTCGCTGTGCCTCTAACCGTCGCAGATTCTGGGTTTTCTGATTTATCGTCAGTTCAGCGGTCTCTATTTTGGCTTGGTAGTAGGGCTTGATACCCCCAGGGATCACTGCCGTCTTGGTGGCTACGGGCATTATTATCGAAGCAGGAAAAGGAAAGCTAGTGTGGACTTACGCGTCCCGTCACGTTTCTGTCACTTGGATCACGGTCACGATCTGATCCGGTATTCCGGCCCGAGAAAAAATAGCTTTGATTTTGGTTTCCTTTTCAGAGCCCTCAAAGTAAGGCCTTAGAGCGAAAGCTTACATACACGCAAATGCGGCAGTGTACCTTTATAATAATTCGCATCGTTCCAGCGTTACTGACACAAGGCGCAAACCGGCAATGCCAGTGCTCGATTCCGACTATTTGAGGGTGAGTGGTAAACCTTGCGTGGCAGCCTTGAGAACCGATGGAAAGATTATCACGTAGTACGGACACCTCTAATTGACTCTCCCATCTGGTTAAACTCCTTGAACCAAGCCATAAAGTCAGCACGGGGATACATTGATTGAGTGTATATCAATGAAGGCGTTCCCCTTGTAACAAGGCCTTCCTTCCCGTAGACACGAACTATACGGAGGTTTGGATACCAGTTGTTTCTTACATACCTCCGAGGGTACTCGAACTGTACAAGAGCGAAGACTGTGATCCATGAGACACAGGATCCCCTCAGAACGACTCAATGCATACCTTGCTTTCCCGGCTCAACCAACTGAGATAATTCTTCATTCTTACAAGGGTGAATACTGATTTTTCGGACTCGTTTACCTTCCCCTGCAGCAAGATACACTACGAGAGTGTTCTGTGGGAGACACAAGGGAAATACCTCATGTGGTGAGGTGAGGATGGTTATTTGTCGCGGCATAAGTCGCAGAGACTCCGAGAATGGACGCAACTGCTCAATAGTGTCACGCGCGACCAGCCCATCCCGGACCAGGATATCGCAAATACTTTTGTAGGCGTCACTGCCGGCGATGTATGGCAGGGATATGTACCAGGGAGCCCCCGAAGGATAACAGAAATCGCCGCCCCTATCGAACTCCCCCGGATCGCGGGTATTCGTTACACGAAACCGGACCTGCCCCAAAGTGGGCGGTAGGTCTGGATGTGTCCAATAGTACAGAAACCCCGCAGTATTATCCGGGAAGGTGATGTAGACGCTCTTCCCTTCCGCTTTCTTGCGTGCATAGTGAATATAAGATCTAATGCCGGGAAATGTGAAGACTTTTTGATTGGATATGTCGCGGAAGTCGCGGGGTGAAAGGGATCGAGGATCAAGCGTCACGAGGGGGGATTGTTTCGCATACTTCCATCCTGGTACATTGGAGAGGAATATGGCCGTGTGTCGGCGGTGTATGTAGGATAGATTGGGTCGTAGGGACGGCGAGCTGAATGGCGGCAGCTGGCTCCATGATCTGGCCAATTTACAGCTGAGCATTCCCTACTAGAAAAAAAAATCAAGAGAGTGTCACGAACTATTTAGTTTACGATATAATACCTCAGAGGCTTCACACTTTTCTCGTACTCGCGTCCAACCACGTTGAGGGTCACTCGTCAAGGGTTTGAAGGGTTTGATATGTGGCAGTGCCTCTGCTTGCTCTTGCTTGCGGGCATCCTCCACCAAAAAAATTTAATTGAAATTACTGATTCACAGCTCTCCCTCATACATTTTCCTTCTCCCCCTCTTCCCGACAGCGTGGACCTCAACATTTATCATGAAGTACATTGTCGTCTCGGGAGGTGTGATCAGCGGAATCGGGAAGGGCGTTATCGGTACAACGATCTTCATCGACTGCCTCGTTCTGCACTGAATCTGCTCTTTCCGGATAGCATCGTCGACGGGCCTCCTTCTCAAGACTCTTGGGCTCAAGGTAACCGCCATCAAGATAGATCCGTACATGAACATCGATGCTGGCACCATGCGACCGACGGAACACGGTGAGCCGGGGTCGCGATTTCCATATCATGCCGCTGACACCCTTTCCAGGTGAGGTATACGTTTTGAACGACGGCGGCGAGGTAGATCTGGATTTGGGGAACTACGAACGATATCTTGATATCACTCTTTCACGCGATAATAATATAACGACAGGCAAGATCTATAGAGAAGTCATAGAAAAGGAGGTAGGTGCGTCGATATGTCTTACCCTGTACGTTGTCTCACAGAACACGCCGCAGAGAAAAGGGGAGTACCTCGGAAAGACCGTGCAGATTGTACCCCACGTAACGAACGCGATTCAAGACTGGATTGAACGGGTATCCAAGATACCAGTCGACGACTCTGGAGAGGAGCCAGACGTATGCATTGTCGAAGTACGCGTCTTCCCTCGCGTACTATCTCGTTCTTATCGATCTATAGCTTGGTGGAACTGTTGGCGATATCGAGTCGGCCCCCTTCGTCGAAGCCATGCGGCAATTCCAATTCCGCGTTGGACACAAAAACTTTGCTCTCATTCACGTTTCGCTAGTGCCTGAGATGCATGGCGAACAGAAAACGAAACCTACACAGACAACAATTCATTCGTTGCGTGGTCTGGGTCTCCTAGCCGACCTCATTGCATGCCGGCTGCTTGCTTCGGAACCGCTTCTTCCCGCGACGAAGGAGAAGATATCGATGTTCTGTCATGTGGCTGCCGAACAAGTCTTCGGTGTACATAACGTCTCTTCGGTTTATCACGTCCCGCTTTTGTTGCAATCCCAAGGTATCCTGGACTACCTGCGAAAGCGGCTAGATATGGACAGTGTCAATATTACTCCCGACATGTTACAGCATGGCGTGTCGTTGGAGAAACGGTGGAGAGACCTGACTACAGGGCAAGAGCGGCTATTCGATAGTGTGCAAATCGTCCTCGTGGGCAAGTATACGGACCTCAAGGACTCTTACATGTCCGTTATCAAGGCCCTGGAACATTCGGCATTTCGGGTCCATCGGAAACTCATACTTACGGTGCGTCTTCGTCTTCTATCTTTCTAAAAGTAGTACGAACGTGCCTCTTACTCTCGTTATCTAGTGGGTTGAATCTTCGAATCTTGAGCCCGAGACGCAAGAATTGAATCCCGCAAAATACCATGATGCGTGGCGCGCGGTTGTCGGGGCAGGGTATGATGGTTTCTCCTGCACGGTTCGTTAGCTAACAGCTACGTAGGGGCATCCTTGTTCCTGGAGGTTTCGGCGAACGCGGAACTGAAGGCATGATGATGGCCATCAAGTACGCTCGAGAGCAACACATTCCCTTCCTCGGGATCTGTCTTGGTTTTCAATTGGCCGTCATAGAGTGGTCCCGTAATGTTTTAAACATTCCCGGTAAGCGTCGCTTAGTGGTTTCATCTGGCCTTCTCGTCTAATTCGTCCGAACAGAGGCTACCTCGGCTGAATTCAACAAGCAAACCAAGTTTCCCGCTGTTATCTTTATGCCGGAGATTTCGACGACGCATATGGGTGGGACTATGCGACTTGGTCTGCGGCCGACGGTCTTTGAACCTGGTACCGAAACCTGGTCCAAAATCCGCAAGCTCTACGGCAGTTCGGGAAAAATTTGGGAACGACACAGGCACAGGTATGAAGTAAACCCGGAATGGGTTGACAAACTTGTGTCGAGTGGTCTAGTTTTTAGCGGTAAAGACGAGAAGGGAGAACGGATGCAGATTTGCGAGCTTCCTGGTATGTTCCCCCCCCCTCCCCCCCATTTTCCGCTCCTGTTGCCAGGCCTCACTATTGTGGCAGATCATCCTTATTTCGTTGGACTGCAAGCGCATCCGGAGTTTTGTTCTCGACCTCTTAACCCGTCGCCTCCGTTCCTCGGTTTTGTGGCGGCGTCGTCTGGTCGTCATGTGCTGGTGGAGCAGTTGGCATTCCAGCAAGCGAATTTTAGGCCTCCTCATCCCGAGGAGTCGATGGTGGCTGAGGCTGCCCTTCGTCATGGGGCCCCGGCTGTCAATGGTGCGAACGGTGTTGCATAGATGAAGATATTTCCTCGGACTTGGAAAGAATTTTTTTTTTTTTTTTACTTCTTACACATCTACACATGTCTGCTATACATTTAAGTGCACGCCATCCATGTATCATTAGTAATGTCTGCTCTAACGCATTGTCCTACCTGTATCAGCAACCACCCATGTTTTCTGTAGCTTTATTATGTAATAATGTATCATTATTTTCTTCCGAGACAAATTAACTGCCAAGGCCAAGACCCTTTGAGTTTTAAGCTTTACTTAACGCCAAAGTATTAAGTACCTTCTGATATCATGAAATAAAATAAATAATGACACGTGCCAAATTTCGAAATTTCGCGTCGGTTGTTCTAGTACCACCATCACTGTCAGTGGCCTCCATCGTCGACCTATCCCTGTCCCATGATACAGACAGGGTTGATTCCAAGCGCGCATGCCGACCTCGTTACCGACGCTGCATACGATTTCTACGGCCTCCGCCTAGCCACTTGTAGTTTGGACCAAAGGTCGGCGGCAATGTCACCTTTCTTTCCATCCTCTTTCTCATTTTACACGACCCCAGAATCAAAATATGGCAGCTCGACGAACAGAACGGGACATGGTCTGTCGAGGATGACTGGAAAGTACGTTTATTTCTCCCAAACGCTGCCATTTCTCAAAATTCACGCGCGTTTCAGGCGCACGATGCCGCGGTATCGAAAGTCAGCTGGGCGCATCCTGAATTTGGATCCATCATCGCTTCTTCGTCTTTCGACCGCACCGTCAAAGTATGGGAACAAGTCGTTGTCGGTGAGCTGAACGGCGCCGCAACTTCTCAGGCAGGATCGTCTTCGTCTCGATGGGTGGAGAAAGGGATCCTTCATGAAGCTCGAGGGACCGTACGGGCTGTCGAGTTTGCACCTCATTACTTTGGGCTGAAATTGGTGAGTCTTACCATTGGTAGGTAACTCGTCATTCTCGAGGATGACACGATGCTTCAGGCGGCGATAGCCTCTGATAATTTTCTGAGAATTTACGAATGCTACGAGTCTCCTTCGGGGACACCATGGCAGCTCGCAGAAGAGATCGATGTCAACGCTGTGCCGACGTCGTCCTCTCCCTCCTTCCTTTCACGAGCGCATACAGCTGCCGTCGCAACACCGACGCAAACGAGTTCTAGCGCAGAAGGTGCCCCGGCGCCTCTCATCGCCCAAGCTCTTCTCCAGCAACAGTCGACAAGCCAGACGAAGCCTGGAATGGGCAACAGGGAAGCAGACGGTGGCTGGTGTGTCTCCTGGTGCAAAGACAGGTATTGGGGAGAGGTCCTGGCGACTAGCTGTGGCGTCAGTGGGGTCGTCAAGGTGCGCGCCTTGTAAGCTTTTCGCGCCAATCAATAGTTTTGACACCATCGTAGATCATCCAACTCTCCCCTTCTCGAAGACCAGCGACCATCCTTGTCTTGGATCCCTCACCTGCTGCACAGAACGGCACGCCTTCCGCCGAGCCGTCTGCGACACTCGCACAGACAGAGGCAGAGCGTTCTACTGCATTTGCTATCACTTCCGTCGCTTGGGCTCCTTCATGCGGTAGGTCGTACCACCTCATCGCAACCGGAGGACGAGACGGAAGAGTGAAGATCTGGAAAGTCAAACCTTCCGTCGAAGAACCCGAGACTGGTGATGAGGACGCCGTGGAGTCCGATGAAGGGAACCGGTGGTCTGCCACGATTGTGGCGGACTTTGATCAGCACAAGTAAGTCGGTCGTCATCGTCTCCTCCGTGTCCCGTTATGCTGACCTATGTCCAGGTCGTCCGTGGGCCGTGTAGAATGGAACATAACAGGGTAAGATCTATCTCATATATTTTGGAATCGGCCGTTAATACATTGCTTTTCACAGGACTGTTCTTTCTTCGGCTGGTAATGATGGTCGTATTCGATTGTGGAAGGCTACCTCGGGAGGCAGCATATGGCGACCCGCGGGAAGCATCGGAGTTGAACAGGCGGAAGCGGAGGATAAAAGCCAGGGCGAGGACAAAGATGTAGAGATGCATTCTTGATGGGTGGAAGCTCAGATTGGTTTCTTCTCGCGTATTTGATGTCCTCGCTGAATATTCAAGTACCCGCAGTTTAATTTGAATACGGAAGCCAGTCTGTATGAAGAGTTGTCCCTGAGAGAAGAAGAATGAATACAACATATCATCGGTTTCGCTTACCGAGACTAAGGAACATAGGTTTGGAAGCCACGGAGAGCGCGCATTGGTGTATTGGGGGCGTACAGCTTCCGCCATCAAGCCACAAAATGATTCTATGTGGTTCTTTAATCAAGATTTCGAACCCTTGTACCGTTGTACGTGTTGGTCGGTGAATGGTCACGGTTTCTCAACTGATGCAAGGTTAATGGGTGCGCTACGTGTAGAGTCTGCTCTCCCTCTGAGCGTGTATTGTGAATTCTTTCCAAGGCTCTATTGGGAAATCTGTGGCGGCGCTGAGTCCTAGATGCCGGCGAGGTCAACAAAATTAGCTTGCAGGTTCACATCACGGTGCACCGCGGAACCGTGAAGGTTTACACTGATTACTGCCCTTGGATGTAAAGAAAGAAAGAAAGAAAGAAAAAAAAAAGCGGGACACAGCAACTTGACACGTAGTTTTCAAAGCTTATGCCGAGGACAATTTGGACTGTCGGAGTCGGTCTGCGAGATCAACGAGATGCCCATTGCCACTGTCAAGGGCGGAGGGGGGAAGGATATGTATTGTGGTTGACGGGTAGGGAGGCTACTGTATAGTATCCTGGCAGGGACAACATACACTGCACCCGCTACTTGTATGCAGACTCGGTGCTCAGCGTCCCGATGATGTCTTTTCCACCGATCCTTGATGCTAACTGTTGTAGGGAGGAAGGGAAGGAAATGTACGTGACCAATTCTAAAAACCAAAAGAGAGGTACTCACTAGAACCAGATTTCTCATTAGTGGAAGAGGGAACCCGGACAGGTCGTCGCGTCCGAACTCTATAAACTAATTTGGAGGGTCAAGCGCCGGGAATTGGTAATCTATTATCTTACCGGGAGTGTATAGCATTTAGCAGGGATATCAACGAGCTCCGCAAAGGGATATGATCCTACTCGGCTGTCCAAGAGTCTTCCGACGGTATCTTTACTTGGTGTCTCTAGCCCTGGAAAACCGACCTTTTGAAGAAATAAGCGCCACTACCTAGTTACGTACATCCTATCACTTGCAACGACCCTCTTTAGTCGTCTTCGTGTGATAGCCCTTGTGAGGTGGGAGCCGAGAACGGAATAAGAGTGTCATAGCGCTGAGGCTTTGCGACGAGGGGACGTTCTGGGTGTGGGATGGATTTTCTGCACGACTTTGGAAGACAAAAAAAAAATGATAAGCAAACAGCAATATGCATATCCGGCGGGGTACCTACCACTTACACAGAACGGAAGGGAGATGGATGGGCACATTGTGCGGTCGGCAAAACGGTCGTACGGCTCGCCCTGTCTAGCTCCGGGACCTTGAATACGAGCGAAAAAAAGAAAGAAAGAAAAACCATTGAGAGCTCTCCTTGGATGGGGGGAGGGGGGGGGTCTCGAAAAGGGCCTCCAAAAAGAAAAAAAAAAAAAGACAATATTTTTCGTTTCTGGACATCTTACCACGAGCAGGTCAGAGGTCACTCGTCATTAGGGAACTTCCCCGCGCATTGGCATCAAGATGGGGGGGGGAACCGATCAGGATCAGGATCGCCAGGCGACGAAGGGCTGTGTCCGGGCGCAGTCCCTGACCAGCCATTCAGGCGGGTCGGGTCTATCAATCCATCAGGAATCAAGAATCAGGAATCAGGAATCAGGACCCACCTCGCATCGCATCGTCCTCGAGGATGAATTTGTGAATTTTCCGCTGTCTCTGCTTCTGAGGAGGAAGACAGGATTTAGAATCCCCCCCCCCCCTTTCCCCGGCCCTCGGTGTGCTGAGTGTTGAGTGTTGAGGATGCAGGAAAAAGCACTTGGGCAATGAATGAATCGATTTTTGGCTCCGTGCCGTGGAAAACGCGACAACGCGTGGTTATTATTAGTTGTACTTGCAAGCCAGATTCCATGGACCAGTCGATGTGTTACATAACATATCTAGGACCCCCTTTTATTCAAATCGTTGGTACGTGAAGGATCGGATCGAGCTTAGTCATACATTCGATTCGAGCGCGTAAAGGGGTTATGAGATAGCTCAATTAGCTATATATTCCAACTTGCAATAACCTACAGTCTACAAGTAAACCGAGTGCACTCTCTTCACCCAAATGAGTCCAAAACAAAACATGAACCAAGAAGAACCAATCCGATTACTTAGATACTATATACAAGAAGGCTTTTTTCACTCGATAAATAATTTCTGTTATGTATGTTACAAAGGTATCCATCCTCCCAGGCTCTTACCACCAATCTCCCTGCTCCTTCATCGCATTCGCGACCTTGATGAACCCAGCAACGTTAGCACCGTAGAGCAAACTAGGAAGCACGCCCTCCGCCAACTCCTCGCCGGACCACTTGGTTCCAGCACCCAAGCACGTCTAAAATGCACGTCAGCCAAACCCAACAAAAGGAAGAACTAAGAAAGAAAAAAAAACCCACCTCAAAGCAGCTGCCCATAATCCCCTTGAGCTTCTCATCGACCTCAGCAGGCATCCACGTGAGCCTCTGGCTGTTCTGCGCCATCTCCAGGCCCGAGACAGCGACCCCCCCGCAGTTGGACGCCTTCCCCGGTGCATACCAGACCCCACCGGCGCCCTGCCTGCGAGACGCCTCAAAGACCTCGATGGCTTCCGCCGTGCAGCCCATGTTAGATCCTTCCGCTACGACCCTCACGCCCGCCCTGACGAGCGCCTCGGCTTCTTCACCCGACACTTCATTCTGCGTCGCGCCCGGGAGCGCGATGTGGACTTGCGAGAGAAGAGCCCATGGCCGTTGTCCTGTTTTTTTTTTTTTTTCCTGCTCAGTCTTCTGTTATTACGAACAGACAAGAACCGCGCGCGTACCGGGATAATACTTGTATTTCTCCTCAGGTGCTGCAAAGTCCGCGTACGACTCCAGATACCCTCCCCTCAACTTGAGCGACCCGATCTTCTCTACGACCTCTTTCGAGAATCCTTCTTCGGCGATGAGAGCGCCCCTCGAGTCGGAGAGCGAAACGACCGTCGCGCCGAGCTCGATGACCTTGAGGGCGGTGTACTGCGCGACGTTGCCTGCGCCGGAGATGGCAACAAGCGTGTTGGGTGAGGTGAGCGGGTATTCGGGACACGCGAGAGGGATCATCTGCGGGCGCGTCAGGAGGAGGATAGTGGTGCGCGAGGGGATTACATTACATGCTCAACGTAATAGATAAGGCCATACCCGGTGGCTTCGGGCCGGATGAACGACCCGCCCCAGTGTGCGCCCTTGCCGGTGAGGACACCGACGAACTCGTTGCGCAGTTTCTTGTACGCGCCGAAGAGGAAACCGATTTCGCGAGCACCAGTGCCGATGTCGCCGGCTAGAGGGGTAAAAGGGTAGGTGAGGGGGAAAAGATAAGGATGTGAGTCACTCTATTCAATAAGTTAAGACTAGACAGTGGTGGCTTACCAGGAACGTCCGTATCCTGCCCGATATGTCTAAATAGCTCGCTCATAAATGCCACGCAGAACCTCCTTATCTCTGCGTCGCTCTTTCCCTTGGGGTCGAAATCCGAGCCACCCTTGCCTCCTCCCATGCTGAGCCCGGTCAGAGCATTCTTGAATGTCTGCTCAAAGCCGAGGAACTTGAGGATGGAGAGGTTCACAGAGGGGTGAAGGCGCAGGCCGCCTTTGTAGGGACCCAAAGCAGAGTTGTACTTGGGGGGGGGGGGGGGGGTTAAAGACGTGAATCGAGGTAGTAAGATGTGAAGCGACTTGTTAGAAGTACCTGCACACGGAATCCACGGTTCACTTGCGCATTCCCCTGGTCGTCTTCCCATACAACGCGGAATTGGAGGACCCGTTCGGGGATTTGGACGATCTCGAAAGCTTTCTGGTAGGATGGGTTGGCTGCGAGGAAGGGGCCAATACTGAGCGCGAGCTCTCCCAGAGCCTATATCACAGTCAATTAATGCCCAAAGAAAAAGGAGAGAAAAAAATAGGAACCTGTTCGAATTCGGGTTCAGAGGGCAAGACCATGTTGGATGAGTAGTGAGGAGCGCCATGCTAATGCTGACTGGAATATATAGACACGTCGAGCGGATTTATCGACCGAGATCGTTTGCCAGGGCGACCCATATGCCGACGCGACAGCATGGTGCGGAAGAAAAAATAGACACGCAGAACGAAGATAAGATGAACGTCACGTGGTGGGATCTTATCGCATGTCCTTTCCAAGCACTTCCGAGCCTCGTTACCCAGTCCAGTCAGCTCGAGATGCAGTTGAATTTTACTGGCGCCTTTGGCCACGGCTCGTGTGCTCACTGTTCTCGCCCGCTGTCCCTCAACTCTCGCCTACTGGTTGTCCTTGTCTGGGTCATCATTGACAGCGGGATCGATGCGGCGTGCATGGACACTTGCATGCGGTGTGGATCCTCATCGCCACGGCTGTGTGTTGAAACTGAATGTTCGCGTTTGCCCCACCGACTAGGGTCTGTTGGAGCTCCCTTGCTTCCATTCCGACTTTCGGCGAGAGTAGCTGATCCTTCGGGGGTTTCCCCGTGTATATATATAAGGCATCCACCCGTTCATGTTGTTGGACAGCACCTAATGGCATATATGACTTTGAAGTGAACTCTGTCCTTGTACTGTTCGAGCTGTCAAGTCAATGCCGTCCGTCAGCTTCCAATAGGCTCGGTTTCATTCCGGCTGACGAGCACAGTGATCTGATAGCGGACAAGATGGTATCAGTCACCCAGGGAGGATAGCATAAGCTACATTCTGCAGGTAGAGATAATCTTGGCGTACAAAGGTGATGAACGGGATAGTGGTGGTATTGGTATTCGTACTGGCGGAAGATGTCGGTGTCGGTGTTGGTAGTAAAAGATAAAATAAAGCGCGGGACCAAGCGGCATCGGTCACGTTATAGGCCGGGATTTCGGACCGGGCTATATTACCCGGTGCAAAGCGCTCCGCCAAAAATTTTAGCAGACAAGTCTACAATGACACCCTCACCATCGATGACGACGCGCAGATCCATACGCACGGGCCACTCCCGACGGGTATACAAGGCGCGCATGTCCAAAGAACCTTGATCACTCCCTGGTTGCCCCCCTGTTCTGCTACTCTTACAACTCGCGTGCTATGCCGCCTTAGTGACGAACAGGTTCACCTTGCACCGAGATTCTCTACAGTTTTGTGCCATTCTTCGCCAGTGCATTAACTATGCTTTCACAATTCAGCTTCTAAAGTCCCATCCGATGTTCGGCGGAAGTAGGCCTCCCGCTTTTGCCGGTATTCTGAATTAAATCCGTTCACCCTGTCTCCTTTCATAACCCCTCCGAGGATAACGGAGTACGGGTACTGCTGGCAGAATTCTCCTTTCCCGCTGGACGCGTGATCCACTCCCAAAGCTCGAGTTCGAGGCTCACTGTGGCGGCGCATTGTCAGACAAACGCATCCATGGTCAACGGCGTAGCACCGTTTGATTGGCGACACGCTCGAACGCTTAAGCCCTCGGAAGGCGCCTAACACCCACATTCAGCCTTAGGTTCGATTCGGCATCTGTTCCTCACATGTTCACGTCTTCATCGCACGGGCACTAGAGGAGAACCGCCGTGGGCCCTCTGAACACCCCTCCTCCGAGGCAAAGGTAAGTAAATCTGATCTGATCTTCATATCCTTTCCTTAGGCCCATCAACAATTAGCTCCGTAGGTAGTTCCAATGAACGCAAAACGTCATATCATCGGTGACCTGAGTCTGATGCCCCTTCCTTCCTTTACCTTCGCCCGATAGATCTTCTCTGCGAGCTTCATAAATACCGCGTCCAAGCCTGCCATGGTCTCCCACAACCATGATGCCCTCGACGTCTGCCTTCACTTTCCCCCCAGAAATCATCGACATGATCACCGACCACCTGCACGCGTCTCCCCGTACACTGCTCTCCCTCAGCCTCCATCCGTCTTTCCTACCTTCAGCACGATATCACCTTTTCTCCTCCCTCGCGGTCCCCCTCCATACACGCGGCCTTTTTGGTCTCCTCTCTCTTCTTGATTCGCCCCACGGCACCATTAAACCATATATACAACGTCTCCTCTTCACCGACCTCACAAAGATGGTAGCAACCCATGGTTTGGGTGATGTCATTCGTGCTATTCGCAATCTCCCCAGACTTCCAAAGGTAAAAGCTGTCAAGCTCGCTAACACAGATTTTGAAAAAGTCCCTGGAGAGGTGCTAGGTCTGCTCATGTACCACCTTCGGCACTTTGCCTTGACCTTCCTGGCCGTTGAGAGGCTACACTTTTCGCGCTTCAGCGAGGTGGCGGGACTCTTTAATGTGTTCAGTGGGTCAGCAGGCGTGGAAGCCAGACAAGTGAGCTGGACATATGGTGCAGGAGGGTATGCGCCACAACCACCGCCGAACGTGGAGTGGGAGATTGCCGATATTTCCGGCGGGGATATGCTGCAGTGGCTCGCAGACTCTGGTGCTACCGTGCGCCGTCTGGAGGGGGAGGCAGGAGTCATCAGGGATCTGATCAGAAGTGTGGGGCCTTCGATTAGGCAACTCCAAGTCAGCCTTTCCGACCGTGAGCACTTGCGATTTCGATCACTGTGATGACCAACCTTTTCTCACGTTGCCGTTAGATTCACTCATTGACGTCTCCCCCTGCACGTTTCTTCGCTCTCTTCATCTCCATTTACCACCTACGCCATCAGATGGTCATTTGATCACGGACATACTCACCACGGTACAGTCTAGACATCTGCAAGAACTAGTAGTTATCGGGATTTCCCTTCCCATCGTCATGGACTGGGACGAGCTCGACCAGGTCCTTGCATATCATCGATCATTGCGGAGAATATGCTTTGTGCTTTCGCGGGGCATGGCACAGCTGGAGATGGGGAAACATATTACGGACGTTCTTCCGACATGTCGGAATATTATCCAAATAGTACCAAGTAAAATGAGGTGCGTATGCGTATCCTTCCTCGGAGACTAGCACCGAACTCATCAATCATGAACAGGACCTAGTAAGCCCAACTGTCCGCATCGCATGGATTGCGTTTCCGTGTACATTAGCGAGTTTGAAATCGCCGCTGTTATATACGCGTTACGTGCTAGGAGGGCCTTGACTCTGGTGGACCTGTCCTTTCGGACCCAGTGGGGTTGCGGTTCTCCATTATACTCTGACTACAGTTCTCGAGCGCGTGGGTGGAATGAATACCTTCGAGTCACGTCGATGCATTAAATACATATACCGGCGAATTCGAGACAGTGCCGGCGTCTAGTAGTAGTGCATATATCAATCTTTTTTTTAAGGTTTTAAACAGTGTTCGGACCGATATCGTCGGGGCGAAGGAGGTTCCTACTAGTTAGTTAGTTAGTTTGTGTGCCTTTGATCCTCAGGCTGTGGGGGTATTCTTACCATTCGGGTTGGCAGTCGGTGCCGCACTGGTTAGAGTGTAACTGTAACTACTGCACAGGCCCTGATCGCCTGCGTAACCTAACCATCTATATATGTCCCCCGGCATTCCAGAATCTGGTATTCGGAATAATTGGTGCAAGCCCCGAAGATGACCGATGAGAAAGGTACACCGCGGCAACAAGTTGGGTGAAGTGGCCATGTGTTGGTCGATGGCGCAATTCGCAGAGCAGACGATCTAGGGCTCGACCTAAGCGGATCATTATCTCCCACCCCCAGATTGTAATGGGGAATATGTAATATTACTGGTCATCTAGTCTTTTTTTCTGGACCAAGAACAAACGACCCCAAGTCGTCACAAAGATCTACGTACACAGACATGCGGCGGAGGAAAGCAGACGCAGCCATCAGAAATCAATCATCTAAAATTAATTCTTTTCTTTTTCTGTCTAGATCTTCAACTCTGCGGGTAATTCTTCGCCAAAAACGCCGGCTAAGAGGTTGTTCAGAGCGAGTGTAGCCATATCGATTCGGGTCTCTATACTGGCGCTTCCGATGTGAGGCAGAATGACACAACTGAAAGGAATAATGAATAATCAGCCTGGGGCTGGGGGGTTCTACAAAACTGGTTAGTAAGAAACATACCGAGGCTCCTTGACGAGAGGATGGTCAAGCGTGATGTTCGGTTCGCCCTCTACGACGTCTAACCCTGCTCCCCAAATCCAGCCCTCGCTCAGCGCCTTTGCCAGCGCGTCCGAGTCGACGAGGGTCCCCCGGCTGGCGTTGACGAGGACGCTGTGCTTCTTCATCTTGCGCAGGAATGCCTCGTCGACGAGGTGTTTGGTGCTCTCTCCGCCTGGGGCGAGGACGAACACGATGTCGCTCGAGCGCGCGAGCTCGTCTGCGGTGACGCGCCGGAGGGTTTTGAGGGTCGGGTGGTGCGAGAGGATGGCGGTGTCCCGGTCGGTGGCGGGTGGGGAGTGGGGGTTGGCGGTGTATAGGCAGGAGGTGATTCCGAAGGGTATGAGGCGCTTGAGGGTGGCTTGGGAGATGCGGCCGAAACCGAGGAAACCGACGGTGCGGTCTGGGGAGGAGGGGAGGGTGCTGATTTGGGGACCGCAGAATGCGAATGGGGCCCAGCGGAATTTTGGCCACTGAGGTTGGGTGTGTTTTGGTGTTTTGAGTTTATTTACTTTTGGGATGGGATTAGGGAGGGAGGCTTACCTCCCCGGATTGGACTAGGTTTATGGTTGATCCGGCGTTCCTGCTGGCCATGAGGGCGAGCATCACAGTGATGTCCGCAACTGTGGAGGGTAAGTGTAGATTGGAGGTTGTTAAAGAGGGGACGGACCAGCGTCGGTCAGCACGTCTGGTGTGTATCCTAGTTTGACACCTCGGTTCGTGAGCTCGGTGAGATCGATGTGCTCTGTGGAACGAGTGCTCCGTTGTGATAATTTTATAGGAGGTCTAAATTGCGCACCGTAGCCGACAGACATGGTTGATACGACGCGAAGGCTTGGGCCAGCTGTAGATCCAAGTAGTATAAGGCCAAGATTCAACTATTTGCCATGTCGGTTTAGCTTACCAGCTTCGAAGAGGGCTTTATCGGCCTGGTAGAAAGGGGAGTCAAGGATGTAAATTGTAAAACGATAAGCGACACATACCTTCTCTGGGAACATCAGCAGAACACCCGCAGCACCCCTGACCTGTTCTAACAACCATTTCCTATCGCAAGATGAGTCTTCCGGCCATACGACTACCTGGGGGACGTTTCTACGAGGATGAACATAAAGACAGACAAGGAGTAATCTCACCTCAACGTCGCTCCTTCCTTCCAACAGCGGCATAACATCTGGCCCAAGGTTCCTGCAGATCACAACGCGTGGTTTGGTGGTGGTGCTAAGGTGGCTTATTATGCCTGTCAGTCTATCTTTCACAGACGCAATAGAGCCAACCGGCGACCTTGACTGCATTTGTAGTACGATTGACAAGAGGGGGAAGAGTTTTAGAGATTTCTTGTACAAATTGCCCCCACATCGACATATAAAGGAACTTTTGGAACCATCGGACCGGTGGGAAGAAGCGGGCCGCGTATCACGTGACACGCCGGGGACGGACCGACAGTGTGTCAGTGATCAGCCCTTTTTTACCGACCTTCCTTTCACGAACGACCACTATTCTTCACGCGCGTTCCTACCTTATTCCCCCCTTTCTAATTTCGCGAATTTATCAATGGCAAAAGGCAGCGGCAGTGGTAAGTCATCAGCCACGTCCGGGACGCGCAAAAAGCATGCGAAGAAAGCCGCGGGTAGCGTTGAGCCGCCTGAAACAGGTCCGGGGAAGGAAAAGCGGGCGAAGAACAAGGAGAAGGGCAAGGGGAAGAAGGAGCCGCGGCAGAGAGTGTATATTCCGCCAGTGAAGCCTGCTCCGGTTCAGCCAGATCCTTTGGAGACGACGGGTATAGCGCATCAGCTTCCGCCGGAGTTGTTGGTCGTTCTGCGGAGTCTGGGGAAGAAGGCTGTGGTCACCAAGGGCCACGCGCTGGAGGACCTGCAGTCGGAATGGGTGGAGAAGGCACTGGCGGGTGATGAGGAGCTGATGCCGACGCTGCATGTCATGTTTCCAGTATGGGTGCGTTGTCGTCCCTTCATCGCTAGCTGCGATTCTGCGATTCTGATGAGGCAGATGTGAAGATGCACCACGTATCGGCGCTGTTCCTCCATCCTTCACGGCGGATCCGACAACTAACGGCAGATCTACACAAATCGTTTGTTTTGCTGATGGGGGAGGCTATCCTTGCCCATTTCCATACCTGTTCGACGCGCGAGGCGGAATGGATCCTGGGAAGTTGGTGTGTGGCTGCCCACGATATCGACCGTGGTGTGGCGGCATCGGCACTATCGTCGTGGCAGAGTTTCAACGCGCTCTTGGGCGACGACCTGTTGTTGAACGACAAGGAGAGCGGGTTGTTTTCGTGTCTTGTGACATTCGTGCACCGAGCTGCGATGGATCCGCTTGCTGTCTATCTGGATCTGAACCCGCCGCCGCCGCCCGCTCCACCACCACCACCGCCGACTAAAGGCGCGTCGAGAAAGGTGGAGCCAGAATCAACACCGCGATTCAAGTCTGAGGATTTAAAAGAAGATGAACAGGATAGGAAAGCTCGGATACGAGTTGGCGCGTACGGTGCGATCAGATGGATAATCGGTAAGTCGCCAGCCTTTTTTTTTTTTTCCTAGTTTCGTTCAAACAATTTGGACACAGACAATGTCAAGACGGAATTCCATGGGCAGCTTTCAAGCCTTGTCTTTTGGTCAGGGTTGCACTGCAGAGAGTCGGCCCCGTTTGTGCCGGCAGACGAGGAATGTTTTGGGTATGGTCAACCTGCCGTTCGGAAAGCAGCTTGGGCACTTGTGCAAGCTCTTTTGCGACGTTCGTGGTCCTTTTCTGTATGTGACCCATCGTTTCTCATCCAAGGCTAGATCCCATTCAAACACAGCTATCTACTTTAAGCGCGGCTATTCTTCACTCTGCTTGGGTCGAGTCCGATACAACTGTTCATACTGTCATGTGGCAGCCTTTACTTCGCTTTCTGAAAGGTGAGTATTTCGGTCTGCTTGCAGCGGATAATAAACTTCATTAACAGATCATCCAAATGCATGGGAGTTGGCCGACAGTCCCAGGCTCGAAGAGGACGGTTCCAGTGACGAAGAAGATGAGGAGCAACACCCTCCCTTGAAAGGTCGCCCCTCATACGACGAGTTTTTGCAGTTTCTCCAGCTCGGATGTTCCGGGTCCCCCATACAGGGTTACCCAACGGTGGTTATCATCATATCGACAATACCTTCTTCAGTGGGTCTTGTTTGCTGCTGCCGGGTTCACATCTGGTCTGATCCTTCGTTAGATATTCGCTTCGACGTCATCTTCATCGCCCTTGGCGGATTTTTTCACGTCGTTTTGGGCTGCCATTGATGGACGCGCGCTTAGGGGCTTGAATCGCACCAAGGCGAGTGGAGCATTTTTGGAGTCGCTCTATGAGTGCATGGTGTTCCTTCTGAGAAGGGTTCATCGCGATGCGGGACATGCTTCGCTGTTATTGGGTACCGAGACCAAGATGGACGAACTAGTAGGGGACCAGGTCGTGAGAACATTCAAGGCTCTGGAAGACCGGACGTTGAAAGTAGAGGAGGAGAAATTGTGTGATACAGTGTCGGAGACTCTGGTTTCATTGGAAGCTATTGATAACGGTCTGTGGGTTCGAGGCTCGAGGTAGAGTGACGCTGATGTTTCTTGACAACAGACTTGTTCCGATCTACTTGGAGTGTCTTTAGTCAAATCATGAAAAATTCGGGATCACCATTCGTCCCCTGTCTCCTCAAGACTCTTCTCGATCGATTACCAGATGACTCGGAGCTCTATACGTCGTCGCATGTGTTGTTGCAGGAGATCCTTCGTTCAGCAATCGGAGACTGGGAGCATAGTTTCAATGAGCCATCGGAGGATCATCAACTTGGAAATGGCGTACACACACTTGTTGGCATGCTCAACATCTTTGGACAACGTCTGTTTAGTGACGATCTGGAATTCGCCTCGGTGAGGAATCGTGGTTCGTTCGCTCCCCATTCATGATCTGACAAACGGAACTGATACAGAAACTCGATGGTCTCGTCAGCAAACACGCATATCTTACCTTGACTCGTTCTGAGCCCCTCTTTTTTGCCTATCTTTCGCACAGGAAGGATGAAGCTCTACGTTACACCGTTTGGCATAACACCTTGGACGACATTGGACAACATTGGGATACTCTCCCGTCGTCGCTAAAGCGGCTGCTGGATGCCAGAGTGGACATCAATATGGCAGGGACGCAGCTTGATACCCAGGTCCATCAATTGTTCGTGGAATCGGTACACAAGCCCTCAGGCTCACCGGAGGTGTCTCTCATGCAGCAAGTACTACAAAAGCCAGGTTAGTATTTTCTTCTCGTCGCAGGAATATATATTATTTATGCTTACACAATAGGTCTCATCCTGTCCAAGAATGGGTTCGATTCCCTGATACAGACCCTGGGGTCGGTCTTTATGGCCGATATCAATGTATTGCTTCGCTCTGAGAACGAATCTCACGGTTCGGTTGATACGTTACTGGTATTGATATCAACGGCGCTATTCTCTCTACCTCGATTTACCAATTCACCGTCTTTGCTCGCTATTGATGCTCTGCCGTACGTCTTCCTTCTCGGATACGTGCTTCCCCGATCCGTCTCGTCTCTCGATGGCACTGCTGCTGCACAAGCTCTGTGGGACCGTTTCATACAAGAGCGGGACTTGAATCATTTTGACGAGACTGCCATTTTTTCGGGGATACAAGACCTGCTGAAGACAATCGTGGTCGACACGCAAATGCGGCCTAGGTCAGTCAGAGCCTCTTGCTTCTGAATATCTCCATTATTCTGACCATCATTTAGTCCGGAGCACGTTTTGCAGGCACTATCGGAAGCAACACTCAAAGAAGTGATAGCTCCTTTGTCATGTCTTCTATCTGAACCTGAACTCGATGAGATGCTCGATGAGATGTCATCAGATCCTATACATCCATCCTTAGCCGTTCTCGACCCTTTAATTCCCCCAGGGCAATACGGAGAGACTGGCTTTCCAGAATGCGATTCTCGTGGATTCTCGCCGTACGCCCGGCTTGTCAGTATGCTTCTGTTCGTGTTCATGGAGGACCGACAGAGTGCTCGACGTAATACATGGGCGCTCCGGCATCTGATAGCGCTTTCGTTATACGCAGAAGATTATAGTGCCTGCCCTGTATGGTCGAGTCCGGCGTTTGGGACAGAAGCTTTGATGGACTTGGAAGGGCTGATCGTCAAGCTGCAACAGATCTGTACATATCTGCTGACTTCGGCGTCGGATGATGGTTGGAGACTGAAAGTTTTGGACGTTTTGACGAATGGACGACCGCTTGATGAGGCCGGTCCGCCTTTGGCTGTGTTTTTGAGGGATCAGATCGTGAGGGCGCGGGAAGGCGATGAGATGAGGGAGGCTCGTATCCTTGGTCGTGTGCTGTCTCATGTTCTGCATGATGCCGATAAAGCGGAAGCAGATCGATGGATCGCTTTTGCTAGGAGTATCGATCGAACGGGTGAGTTTATCTCCGATTATTGTCTGTGTTTGAAGTGACGTTCGCCCCCTTTGCTTATAGCACCAGAAACCTCTATGGCTATTGTCCGCGCTGTGGTTGAAGTAGCACCAGAGCCTCCACGTCTTGACAGGTATCGGAATGAGCTCGCAGCATCCCTGATGGGTGTCCCGCCAGCGAAAGCAAATGCCGACGGGCTTATTACCCTCCGTAAGTTGGCTGCTAGCGCACCTCATGCAGACTCGGAAGTCGTATATCTCCCTCAACAAAGGGCACTGAACGTGGTCAAGACGTGTGAGAAGTGGATTGCGTCTGACGAGGATCTAGACGAGGAGGTCCAGAGTGCGATGACATGGACGTTCTGTCACCTTGCTCCGATTCTTCAGAACCTGGAGGGATCACACTGGCAGTTCATTTTTGATGTGGTGGAGAACAATCTTGACGTTAGCCGCGGTTTTTCTTCCTTTCTTAAGCTACACGCTTGCTAAGAAGATCCTTTGTAGAACTCTTCTTTCGATGACGATGACACTTTTGTTTCGCTAGCGCAAACGCTGAGGCTGATTCTTGTCATCAAGGACCTCGCATTGACGAACAAGGTGCTTCGTGAGGATTGGCGGTCACGGCGACTACCGATTCTAAAAATGGTTCGAGACTTGGCATCGTCACGACTGGGTATGCGATCATCCAAAAGTTTTCCCATCGAGATGTATCTCATTGCCATTCTTAGACGGACGTGCTTCTGTTCCAAGGTCTCGCTGTTTAGAGCTCGTTCTTGCTGTAGTACAAGATTTGCCGGCGGATCTCATAGATCACAATACTCTGCCTAAGGTTATCTTCGTTTTCATGTCCGAGGATTTTTTTTTCTTTCGATGCTGATGGCTGAAGTAGATGTGCCACCTTGTCATGGATACTGGGACTGAGGTGCAAAAGAAGGCATACATGCTTTTACAGCAGGCGGCCTACAAGCGTACGGAGCACATGGTGGTTGAAGCCGCTGTCGATGGCGAGAATACCTTCAAGGCCGAACTGCCGCGTGAACTTGTCAGTATCCTCCAGCAGTCTCTCAACTTTGATGATGCAAACTCGGCTGAGCGCCCGAATGTACGGTGTATTTTAACATAATGATGCCATCGGTTGACGCGTATTTCAGAACGTATTTGGTTACTTGCTTGGCTGGATGATTGTCTTTGATCTTTTCTTTGGCTCGGTATGTTCGATCTTCTGCTCTTGCGAGTATCATTTTTCTAATGGTGGTGCGCCCAGTCCTTGAAAGTCAAAGCGAGCTATATCGACCAGTTGCGAAGTTTAGACATCATTGCCGGATCGTTCATGCCTATGGTGCTAAGCACGCTCAACCTGGATCAAGGCGCCGCTAAGGTTTATAAGCTAGATCTGTGGGCTGTGGACGAATACCACATCGAACGTACGCATGTTACCTACGGTCATCGTTGACCCTTTCCTTAACAGAAATTTTACTAGTTTATGAACCCGACGAAGCCTTTACTTTACAGGTTCTCGCTGCATATCTGTACTATCGAGCCCTTTTGAATGTTCCCTCGCTGATACACAGCTGGATACTCGATTGCAAGGATCGCCAGCTTTCCTCTACCATCGTCTCTTATACATCGGCGCATTTCTCTCCGGCTATCATTCGCACGGAGTTGGTGCATGTCAAGAGTTCCGAGGCCGCGACAGAGCTGGAAGACGATACGTTCAAGATCAAGGTCGCACCTAATGTAAATGAGGTCGTTGCATCGTACCTTGTGGATGAGCACCAGCTTGAGATGAAGCTGAGGATCCCGACGGATTGGCCTCTACATAAGATCGAGGTCAAGGACATGAAACGAATAGGCGTGGACGAAAAGCGTTGGAGGGCTTGGATGCTTGGTGTCCAGCAGACGATTTGGGCAAGTGATATGCTTGTTTGCGCTCTCTCTCTCTCTCGTTCCGTTGAGCTGATGATGCACATCTCTATAGAATGGCCGGATTGTCGATGGTTTAGGCTTGTTCAAGAAGAATGTTACGTTGCACTTTGAGGGACAAGTAGAGTGTGCTATCTGCTATTCGTACGTTCGACTCTTTCCTTCCTTCCTTCCTTCCTTCCTTCCTTCGTTTCCTTTTGGTGGTGGGCTGACATCTTGATCCCTGACAGTATAATAAGCGTCATGGATGGCACACTCCCCCAGAGACCCTGTAGAACGTGTAAAAACCGCTTCCATGGTGGATGTCTATATAAGGTTTGTCGGGTAGTTCGGTTATATGTAACTGGGGCTCACGCTTAACTGTTTCTTCTTCTTCTTCTCCTCCAGTGGTTCAATACGAGCCATTCGTCGAGCTGTCCTTTATGTCGATCGGATATGTTTTGATTAGGAAGCTTGTTTGTTTGTTTGGCAATCTGCCCTATATTGTTATTATTGTTGTCTCGCGCGGCGCGGTTTTCTTTTTCGCTTGTTTCTGTCATTTCTGGATTCTGGGATAGAATGCGTTGCGTTGGACGATTTGTGGCCGCGAGCTTTCTGATGGTGTGGAAATGCCCCCCCTGCCGAGGTGATTTTGTGCGGCCCGATTGTGGCTGTGTGTAGTCGCTCGCTGGGTCAAGATAAGACGCCTTGGCGGTTTATTTTGTGGGAAGGAAGGAAGTGAGGGGATCAAATCAATCGTGGAGGGAGTATGCTCATTCCTGGTTATTGTTTGATATATCTGGCTTAAAAGAGTTGGATTACATCAACCATGTTCGCTGTGGGTTCACTAGATTTCCTCTGCTTCGCTATTACCAATAATCGCAGCTTGTCCCGTATATCAATGACGGAAACGCGTGTATGAATTCTGTCTGAGTCTGACTTGGGATGAAACGAAACTTTGGATACTCAAAATTGACGAGACGCTGTGCTCGTCGTCCGGATTCTGATTCATTGGGCCATCTTTCCGTACGGCGTCCCATCATGTTCATCCTCTCAGAAATGGCTACCTGCGGGACGTGGCTCGTCCTCCGCCCACCCAGCCACCAGCCACCAGCCACCAGCCACCAGTGAAAGCTGCACCGTTTAGTGCTGTTCTTGTTCAGCCCACGATGGAGTCCAGCCTGGGTGATATCTAGGACAAAGTATGGTACCCAGAACGATTGCTCAGCCTGGGGTTTTCCTTGTCTTCGGGGATTAGCTTTTGATATCATTGTGTTCCATTGCTAGTCTGACTGCTCTGGTTCTTTGATGTACCCTTGTCAATATTATGCATAGCGCCCCCATCTAACGTTGTTGGGATAGCAATCCTGAGCGAGTATAAGAATGTACTCGAAGACACTATGCACTATGTCAATCAGCGGCAGCTGACTTGGACCGTGATCGGGACTTAGATAGTATTTCATAGAAAGCTCTCGAAGTAGTACAAAATGTATTTAAGTACAATGTCTCTCTCTCTCTCAGCTAATCTAATCCTCTATACTGTACTCTCCTCTGTACTTTCAACAAACATGAAATGATGAGAATAAGATCCTAGTCTCCTTGGTGCAGGTGCTTTTGAGGGTTAGGTGTTGAAGATGGATGGCATTGAAAAAGATGCTGCAAGTAAGACTCTGCATAAGATGCATACAGAAAGGCAGACTCATATGTTCTTGTGGCTACTGAGTCAGTGACAGGACTGAGAGACAGTTAGGCTCAATGCAGAACTTACTGGGGACAATATCTGTCTAATCCAAGCATGTCTTGTTGTTGCAGTTGAAGACTAATTTACTGTTTTATCTTCTTCCAGATAACATGCACATCTAGTTCTGCACCTTCCATGTACTGAATATCAGGCAAGTACAGGAACAGGGTGTTGGCATGAGACAGCACAAGCAGATCCATGTCCAGAGGGACAGCAAGCCTTGTTGACTACCCACCATGGAGGACAAAGCACTACCAAAAGGAGCAGATTGACATGTGCATGCAATAGATATGAGGAAAAGTGAGATTTCCAAGCACTCATTCATCTGCCTCAAGCCTCCAAGTCACCATGCCATATTAAGTTGTTCCTCTTATCAGGCCAAGTCATATTACTATCATTTTGGGAGCCTAAGAGTTGATGATAAACAAATCTACCAGAAAACCGGTTTCTCAACATACACTTAGGGGATGCATGCAAAAATTTGCCCACCACCAAAGCAACAATTAGAAAAACTTTTGCAGACTGATGCTTGTTCACAGAGAGCTGGATGTTTTATAAGAGTGCCCCCCCCCTCTCTCTCAAACCATCACTAGAATTGATATCTTTAACAGTCAGCTACAGTATGATTGCCACTAAAATTTGCTCTGAGCTTGAGATGAAGCCTCAACAACAGAAATACAAGTGATACACAGTGAAGTCTTTCATTGCTGATGACTGAGACACCCATCTCTTGGCAGTTAGGAACACTGAGTTTTGTGTATAGTCACATAAAGGATTGATTGATCAAAAATGGATTGAGAAGTGATGCTTACAACCAATGGCACATCCTTTACATTGACAAGCACTACAGATTCAAAGTGCTCAGCAAAACAGGATGACAATGACAAAGCTAAGACTAACATGACCAACCTCCCTGAATCAGTCAAGTACAACCAAAAGTTTTCACTCACTATGTTGAAGAGGTGCTGTGTGCATGCAAGGTGAAAATGGATACATCAGAGTGCTATCCACTGATCACACCCACACCAACACACACACAATACTCTTAGTTCATGGAGAGATTATAATGTGATAAAAGTAGTAACAGCAAATCTAATTGTTTTCTCCAATGAATCCACAGTGTGTGAATAGCAATAGTATGCATATAACAGTCCTAGATCTCTCTAAGTCTCAAAGCTTTTCACTCAAAACAAGAGGTGGCAACAGATGTTGCTGGGCTTCAAGGCAAAGGTACTGTAGCTCAATACAATACATTGAAACAATCCCACAACTCTCAAAAAGGTTCCAAGCATAGCTCAGATCAAATCAAAATCCCTAACATACACAATACATGACTCAAAGCTTAGCACTCTAAGCAGAAACCAATCACAGACACATTCACAAGTGCTAAAGAGTTCAGATCTCTGTACACAAGCTTCCAAACTGATTGTAGACCCACAGAATTCAAACCTATGTGATCCAGAGACACAAAACACAATAAATGCTGTCTGACAGACCCAAAGGGTTTGAACCTCTGCCACCTGTAGTGCTGTGCATCACAAATACCTCAAAAACTCAAGATAGTGCCCTTCAGACACTGCTCTCTTATTCTCAGGCTAGAGTGCAATTCAAAACCTCTTATCAAATTGAACTCAAGTCTCATGCAAGCTTCTGTACCTTGCTCAGTTCTCAAGTCTCTCTTAACTATTTCAATAACAAGTTTATTCTCTCACTCAAAGTTGCAAACACAAACCCAGAGCTAGGGTGCAAGGCTTTCTGTGCCCAATACACCACAACTGTGAGGGTCAAAAACTTGTATTCTACTCATACAATATGGTATTTAAATACTCTACTGTGGTACTTACTAATCCAACCCTACTATAGTATCTTTAGTGCATGGGACTGTGTTTTAGATCTCACAGGAATTATTCACATGCATATTGCAGCTGCTGTGCTTATTCTGTTCTGGGTCAAGACTATGCCCACTGTTCCCTCACTAGCTGACATCAGCTAGCTGGCCTAGTCAGGCCTGCTTGCTTTCTTATTTTTCTGGTGAAGCATTCTGACACCAGAGAACTGTTTCAGGCCTCCAGGGTTATTTCTCATGTTTGGAGTCAGCCCCAATGACTATATTCTCTTTCCCAGTGTCCAGACATTCCATCTGACTCATGATATATGCCACTTCTGATCTGGCACACATCAATTAATCCATCTGATGGTTATGTGTCATACCTTGGTATGATGCAGAGTCTCTTGCAGTGTTATGCATGCTATTCACCCTTTGGTAGTGTTTCTCTGTTTATTACTTTGTTGTCATCATTCTATTTTTCTGTTTAACACTCAGTTATTCAGATATCTTTCTTTGGGTCTCAGTTCTCTGTTCTAAAGCATGTCTCATAAGTATGTCAATGGATGTGCATTCTTGATCAATGTAATCAGAATTGCCAATCATATTTTGATCATATTCTTTTTATTTTCAGCATGTCTTCTTGTAATGATATTGGCACATTTAGGGCCAAGTGCTAGAATCTCATGTGCAGTCTTACCCCTCTGGTATTAGTCTATCACTAGGCCATGCACTCTGCTCATTGTTACTTCAGTTTAGCATCATAATAGCTATGTTTCTTTGTGCTCTAGCCCTATTCTCTGTTATATGCATAGTAGACTGATAGATAGTCCATATAGTCTCAAATTTCACCATTTTACATGCCTGAACATGGAGAGGGCATCTCAACATGCAGGCACTGCATTATGCCAATGATCTGGCTGCAAAGGCTAATGTGCAAAAAGAATCTAAGTCATTTGAAGAGATAATAGCTGAATGGGCATATGACTTCTGTGACCTGTTTGCCAAGAAGAACTTCAATGAACTTCTGAGTCTGAAACCCTGAGACCATGCCATCAAATTAATCCCTAATGCCAACAGTAATCTAGACTGCAAGGTGTACCCCTTCAATTATGCAGAGCAGCAGAAGCTTGATAAGTTCTTAGATGAGAACTTATCCAGTGGATGGATTTGACCCTCAAAATCACCAATGGTATTCTCCTTCTTCTTTGTAAAGAAGAAGGATGGCAAATTACAGTGTTAAGCCCAAACTCCACATGACTGATAACATGTGATAAACTAACAGAACCTTGCACTTCAGGTTATACTGTTAGAGTTCACTGATGTGCTATCAGTGTTGTGTGATCAAAGTGTTTGCAAGTGGCTCAAGATAGGATGGTAGAGAATAAACTTTAGCTCAAAGCTGGGGTATTACAGCAAGAGCTACACTACTTAAATACTGTTCTGTTATCAGGCTATTAATAAATGTTCACAAAAGATATTGTCTGTCATAGAGCTGTTACCCCTGCTGTTGCCAGGCTCTCCACAAAAGCTGTTGTCCTGTTACTGCTGCACTGTCATTTGGAGACAAAAGGAGCATTGTCTCTCCCTTCACAGCACACAGCATTGTGATAGCACAATGACTGACTGGATTGCTGAGCTAAGCATTCCCACAGTCCTAAGTGCTGGCCTAAGTGCTCTGACTAAGCAAAGATAGAGGTCATTTCTGAGAAAAAGAAAAAGAAAAATAGGAAAAATTGTAACATACAGCCAGTCCAAGATTATTGTAAACTTAATGAAATGATGATTAAGAACTGCTATCTCCTTCTGCTCATCTCCAAGCTGATGGATAAGTTGCATGGGGCATGATACTACATGAAGTTGGATGTGTGCTGGGGATACAATAATATTCAGATCAAGGAGGGCAATGAGTGGAAGACTACTTTCCACATGAATAGGAGGCTATTTGAGCCTATAGTAATGTTCTTTGGGATTATCAACTCCTCAGCAACCTTCCAGTGGATGATGAACAACATCTTCAAAGATCTCATCACCAACTTGTCTGACAGATCCTCACTCTCATGAGGAAGCACAAACTATTTCTTAAAGCAGAGAAGTGCAAATTCAAGATATTGGAAACAGAATATCTAGGAGTCATTATCAATGAAGGAAGTATCTGGATGGATCTAATCAAGATTGCAGAGGTGACAGAATGGCTGGCTCTGACCAAGAAGAAGGAGCTCCAATCATTTCTGGGATTCACTAACTTCTATTGACAATTCATCAAGGATTACAGCTGAATAGTTTGTCCTATGACACAGTTGATGAGCAATGCACTCTGGGCATAGAGACTCACACAGGAAGATGCAT